CCCCCCCCCCCCCCCCCCCTCTCTCAAAGAAAAAAAACAACAACTCTGAAACAACGCCAGAAGAGATAACTCCCACCAAAAGCTCCCAACATACCTTCTGCCATGTTTGTGGGCCAGTTTACTCCCAGTGTCTTTCTTTCTTTCCTGAAACGCGTTCTTCTCCCCCCCCCCCCCCCCCCCCCCTCCCCTCTCTTCCAGTGGTCAGCTCTGTCGGTCAATACAAATGACCATTTCTCATCCAACGAACCCCACACACACTCTCGGTCACGTCCACGTGATTCACAATTATACAGTCCCCAAGGATAGATGGATTGCATATTGTGTAATAGAAGGGCTCAAATGTGGAGAGTGACCAATCACTTCTAGCGACACGTCCTCGTGACATTATTATGGCCTTTTATTATCTATACTTACATGAAACTCACAGTATGTTGATAAGTTAGGTGATTTATATAGTTTACAATTGCAGTCATTTTGCACATTAATATTTGCTATAGGCCTTCTTTTTTGCAGGACTGGGCATGTTTCGGTAAAAACATGAAACCAGCTTTTATTCAGCCGTTTCTCATTCACGACTCTTGAATCATGACGAAAATAGAAATGAAAAAAACCAAACATTTTAAGCTCCTTTAAAATGTGATCTATACGCATGCAGTATAGGCTCCATGCACCCAAGGTGGGAGGGAGAAAATAAAACCAGTGGAGCCTGAAGTGCCTTTTTTGACACCCCCAGGTTTTTTAAAAGTCAGTTTGTGTTTTTAATTGGTGTCGACTATGTTTTTACAAGACAATAGTAACATTTACTTTGTTGTAGCAACACCATGTCATCTCGTATATCATCTCTCGTTGTGAGTGCTTTCGTTCCTTTGCGATCAGTGCGTTGATTAGCTGCTGTCCTAACATGCCAAAGAAAGGTTTGGGATGTTAATCCAGATGAAACATGGAGAGAGAGAAAGGGGGGGGGGGGGGGGGGGGGGGGGGGGTATGGGGGGTCTTCCCATGCAGCAGAGGAGAAACAGCTAAACTGACTCAAACAACAGAGGAGGAGAGTTTAAAATATAGAAGTAAATAAAATAAAAAATGCAGAACAGATGTAAAAAAAAAAAAACCACAACATGTAAACAAGCCAAGCTGGTCAAACGAATTCATGGATCAATAGTGATTGATTACATCATGTTAAGACGTTGACTGTGTCCTTGTGGAGTGATGGATGAATCAAAGGAAAGTGATATTTTTACCAAGCTGAAAGAGAGAGAGTCCAGCTCCGAAATGATCAAAAGATGACTAAATTATATGATTGTACAATGAATAAATGAATGAATGAAAACGAAATACAAACTATAAAAAAAAAAACTACAGGTGACATTAAAAACTACAATAAAAACCAAAACAATTACTAAAAAATAACTAAAATAGAACATATAGAAATAATGAATACAGAAAGAATAAACATACCATACCAACAAATATCTGAATGAAAAGCTTAATTTACGACGTGTGAGAGGGAAAATACTAGTTGAATTAGTTACATTTATCTGCGTAGTATAATTAAAAGGTTCCATTACTAAGTATTATTTTGGTGAATGGAAGCACAGCTCCACCCTTGTGTTTGTATGTAAAGCTTGATGGATGTTTTAAAGGTGACCTGTCGATTTCATCACAACTACCACGACGACCCCTTGTGGACCCGCAACACGCGTATATATGGCCCTAAACTTTAGGCTATATAATCGACAGCAGTACATGTCCCAAATTATGGTTTCACAGATCAGAGAAAGCTGTATGCACCATATCAATGCGTTAAAGTGGTAAATTGTTTTTTAAGAAACATGCTTCTCGGCCAGAGAGGAGTTATAATATATTATATTATAATGTGAAGCAGAACAACTTAAGTCTCAGGTTTCTGAAACCTGATAACTGAAACCTGCCTGACCTGCAGGATATAGGAAGGAAGATAAGAAGGGGGACATTTTAAAGTTATAGGAGCCATTAATGTTCTGCTGTAAAACCAAATACACCCACTACACCAAATAGATTTTACACGTTATACTGATTGGATTTTTTGTTTGGTTTGGAAAATGAGATTCTATAACGGGACGTTGAAATTTAAAATGACCAGAGGTTTTTCTGTGGTACTTTTGGATCTGAAAAATTCTAGTTTTTAATTCATAATCTAGTTTATCATTGCGTTATTGAAGCTGTAAAATTATCTGCGTCCCTAAACGTTATAACGTTTTAAAATTATTTCGAATGGGATAACCTGAAGTAGGATATTCAGTTTTAGGGATTTTAACTAATACTTCTGACACAAGAAAGTATAAGAAATACATAATTAAACTGCTGGGTCTCTTTATTGTTGGTAGGCCTACAGTTGGAAAGATGACAGCCTTGATTACGGCACCAAAATCCGCTTTAAACTTGCGCAAAATGCTTTACTGGCCTTTGACAATTCACATACACATTTGAGCTACTCCAACTCTTTTAATATTGCGGGGTTCAAATTTAACATTAGGAAAGCTGAAAAAATTGGTAATATACTTAGTCCTTGAACAGCAATTGTGCTCGAATATAGGAGAATGAAGTTTGTTGAACTGATAGTTTAAGTTATTTTAGATTTGATTTTACGTTAAATACCACAGGTTAAAACGCCCGATTGCATGCGAATATCAGTCACCAGTTTGTCCATAAACAAACTTCTCAGCAGACAAAGAAAACAATCAAATGAAGTATCAGTAAAACAGGTGGAGGCGTCAGTGCCTCCCAAGTGCTGCCTCAGATCATCTTGGCCGGAAGCCAAGATCTCAGTGCTGGACTCCAGCCAAATTACACGGGCTAATGGACTGATCGGTAATTAGTTTAACAGTTAAACTAACTGTTTTCTTTCCTCTATGGAGTTGAAGCTAAACTCCTTCATTTTGTTCAAAGTCGGCAGTAATAAATAAGATGAACGGAACATTTTGCCTTTGATCAAAAATAGATCCATCAATGAATTATAATCAGAGAGACCCATTTTGCACTTCCCACTGGTTTAAAATAATGATGATGATTATAAAACTGGACATCACAACAGCAAGACATCTAGGGTGTCATAATTCCCGGCAGTACCTGAAAGCAGCACGGTGAAGTGCCCTTGGGTTTTATTATGTAAAATACCACTAGATGTCAGTATACATCTCTGAAGTCAACGCGCCTGCCTTCATTTCAACACTTTGGATTTAAAGTCAATATTATGTCAACAGATAGTGTCTCGTGCATAAGAGATTACACTCTGCGATGAGTCATGGTGATGTCACTTGTGATATATCGACAATACTATAGCCTACTTACTTGATCTTTGTTGCCGATGTGCTGACAGCATTCACGTGATGGTCATTTTTTTGCACATTTCTGTTGCGCGAGGCTCTGCAGCCATGTACAAACAAGCAAAACAGAGATCAACCAAAGAGCCCCGCCTCTTTTGATATCCAAAACGGACCGTCAACCAACGGAGGCTGGAAACCCCCCTCTCGATGTCACCGGGGAGCATCCTCTCGACGCCGGTTGTCTTTCCGCGTCCGGTATCAGGTGGACGGATCTGCTTCATGGGCGGGACTCTGCAGCCAGCTGGAGTAAAGCAGCTCAGAGAATAACAGTTTGCAGATCAGTGGGTGAAGCGTCTTGATGGGAACAGCATCGCGAACATCCGCCCTGTTACAACCGAAGGGCGAGCACGTTAACGGACTCGGTTCATTCCCGTTGTACGGAGCAGAAGGAGCGCTTACGGAGGCGAGTTTCCAACACAGGCTACACTTACGCAGCTACGCAGCTCAGCAGAATGAAAAAAAAGTTAAAGCAGCCAACTGCGTCAAGTAGTCTGCTGCGTCTGCTCTGCAATCATGTAGCTACTTTTTTGTAAGCTATGAATTCAGAAGAATGTGCCATTTGCAGTTGCCTTGCAGGATACTTTGAAGAGTATAGTTCGTAGGTTGTGAGGTGAACTCTCGGTTTTTTTTGCGCTCCTGGTCCCGTCACTGCAGCCAAAAACATGGCACGACTACGCAGGAAAGCGTGCATAGCTCTGTTTCTCTTTACGCTGTTCGTCTTTGGGACCCTGATGGGACTGAGGACCCTGAAGCCCAGTGACGGCTTCTCGGATCTGGCTCCGGGCTTGGAGCTGCTGCCGATGATCGCAGGGAAGATGGACCGGCGCTCGGTGTCCCGTGATGCCACCGCGTCCCAGGATCAAGACCGTCCGGCTGGCAGCGACACTAAAGCAGTTTTGTCCAACTCTGGCCCCGAAGGTACCATCTTTTATGATGTTCATATATTTTACTACACCTGGTACGGCAACCCAGACATGGACGGCAAGTACATTCATTGGGACCATATCCTGGTTCCACACTGGGACCCCAAAATCGCGTCCAGCTACCCGAGAGGAAGACACATGCCGCCTGAGGACATCGGCTCCAGTTTCTACCCCGAACTTAATCCGTACAGCTCGAGGGACCCGGACGTGTTGGATTCCCACATGGAGCAGATAGGAGCATCTGCAGCAGGTACGGTTCAGAGACTGCGTAGATTTCTTGGGAAGAAATAGTAAGGAAAATAGCTCATTGTTGCATTTTGTTTTTGCGCTCAGATGCAGCACAGAATATTCTGGCCTCGATAAAGCTGCTGGAGAGGCATAAAACAAATTCAGCACCACACATCCACTGGACAGCTCCCCACACGCCCAGCTCAAAGTCCCTAAATATCTACTGCTGCGCTTTCTTCTGCAGCACAGAGAGAAACTTAATGACTTTAAAAGCTCCAGTAATCAAGAGATCAACTTATTAGGATTACATTATGACTAGAACACCTTCCTGACTGTCACAACTTCAAAATTGATGAAGGAAATTTAGAGTGCGATTACATTTTAGTGTGTTTTTCAACAAAGCATGCCCCTCAGTGATGGGTAATATGGTTGAAATCAATATCAGGATAGTAATGCGTTTATATGTTACAATATTCATATGGGGAAAAAAAAAATCACATTTAAATTAGTCATGATGTTGAATGCAATGAACTGTTCTACTTCTATGCTTTTCATCAGAAAAAAATACGAATAGATTTAATAAAAACCATGGCAAGTGCCATAAAACACATCTGATCATATAGCTTTAAAATCGTCAAGGGGAATGAAATAGTGTACATTTAAATATGTGTTATGCATTATCTAAGGTTAAGTGTGTACTCTAGTTACAAGACTTGCATAAAAGCAGAGATGAAAGGTATTAAATTATCACCCAGGGTCCTATCAGAGGTTTTCTTGGGCATCCCATGAAATATTGATATGCATGTTGTTATTCTTTTCAAAAACCTGTATGGCTTCCCTAAAAGACAGCACAGTCCTGTATAGTCTGGTATCGAGTAACAGCCTGGTGTGTCCAGACGTCAGCAGCCTACACATGATAGGCCCGCAGGTCAGTAGGTTATTGTACAACATGCGGAATGATGACCACGCTATCCATCCGTTTGAAACCTCACCACAAAGGATCATGGGAGTGCTGGGTCACAATGCTTTGTGAAAAATAATCAATTTAATTAGGCACCACAGCCAGCCAAACTGTAAATAGTTCCATTTGGCTTGATGACTGATTCCCCACCACTTCACAGAGACTCATAAATAAAATGAATAGCAGCTGCCTCATTCTTAATACACACAGACGTAGTTGGGTATTGTAATCTAATAGTCCCCATAGCTCCACAGCAAGTGGACGTTTATTTAATGAATTAGCTCTTAGTGCATATCCCATGTGCCAGATCCTCTCTGGTGCCAGGCACCGTTGTTGCTGATATGAAGCTATTTCTCAGCCAGAATCAGAGCATGAGGAAGCATTTCTCAACTGCAATATATAAGCTGTCACCCACTAAAGCTGCGCGGCGAGATTGCCCCTAAAACGAGACATAATAAATATGTGCATATTCCTCAATCGGGTGCAGGATATGGATGATGGGCAGGTAGGCATTTAGATAAAAAGAATCGGCTCACACACTTCACAGCCACGGATGGAATACTGAACAGGCCTACAGACCACAGGCCCAGGGGCCCCAAGGCTTCAGGGCGTGCATGAGCCTCTGTTTGTAGTGAATGTCAACATTTCTCATGGACATGTCAAAGCAGGTTCCATGATAAAATGCAACGATAGCATTTGAGCAAGACACAACACAAATGACCACAGAGACGCTTAACGACCAGAAATGCAAATTGACCACACAGAGTTACAAAACGACCATAAAGAGACGCAAAACGACCACAAAGAGATGCTAAACAACCGCAAAGTGACTCGTTTTGCTCGATGTGGTGTCTTGCTCCTATTTCGGTGAGGTGGGGGGCCTTTTACATATCTGTGCCCAATGACTCATTGTCTTATAATCCAACCATGCATACAGTATCCTACCACAAACCTTACCAGCTTCTGTCTGGTCCTATAAAATACGGTAATTATCCTAATGGATTACCGGGGCAGAATTGTCACAGTGTGTTCAATAAACGCACAGCTGACTTCATTCAATGGGTCTATAAAACAATCCATACATCATTTTGACAATGCATGAGATAACTTTTTTTTCGAGGTTCATATGCATTTTGGACATATGTTCTCTGCAGTAGATGCTCTCTGAGGTATTAACCAGTGTCTTTGGTCCAGGATGGATGATCAGACTCATGAGTTTACGCGTGTCTCCAGGGGTTCTGGTCCTGTCCTGGTATCCCCCCGGCTTGGCTGACGACAACGGGGAACCCGCTGAGGATTTGGTACCAGCTGTGCTGGATGCTGCATATAGACACAACCTCAAGGTAAAAGGCATGTGTGTGTGTGACCTGAAACAAAGTTGGGAAAGAGTCCAAGGTGGAAAAAAGAGCAATGAACCAAATCAATTGTCAATTCAATTTTTATGCAAACTGCAAGTTGTTGCAGGGAAATTTGTTAATTCTAAATCAGCAGCTGTTGATGAAACAGTTTTACACCAATTATGCTGGTATGGGCTTTGTAGGGGGTATATACAACTTTTATTTTTGTTCTATTTGTATTTATTTAAAGTTACTGTGAGGAACATTAAACTGCTTATACAAATCTCAATTCATTACTAATCTATATGAACTACATAAGTAAACAAGACCATCAGCGAGAAGATTGGCGATTTCTATGTAATTATTCTTAATGCTAGTCATCGGTGCCAGCTGGTCGGATTCCGCATGAAATCAGATGAAATCATTCAGGTTCACCAGAAAGTCCTTCTGCTCAGACTCCAGCGGGGCCTGACAGTTTCTTGTAGTAGCATTTTTTTTTTTATACAATGATTGCAAGATAAACACTGTGTTTACCTGGAACAGCTTTATAAATGAAAGCATACAGAGGACAAACAGGACTTGTGTCTAATATACAAACATAAAAGAAAGATAAACATTAAACCAAATACCTTTACATTTTTAACGAGTAACAAGTTATATTGTCTTCCTCTGAGCTGTCAGAATGTCCACAATGTAGATAAGCTAGCATTAGAAAACAACATCAACCCCGTTTTTATGAGTTCAGGACTAGTTTGAGTTGAGCGAGCTAAGACTGCAAAATACTAAAGGTAGAGTGCATTTATTATCACAGATGCTGCGTTAATGAGTCACGCAGAAATTCTTTGCCGCTTGAACTCAACGAGGAGATTTGTGATCGAGTTGTGATTACCCTGAGCGGCAACAATATAAATCCCCCCGTGGAGTCCAGACACTGGTGGTGATGGTGTCTGATGAGGTTGATAGAATGATGAGTTGATGAAGCTGATGAATCTGCGAAGATTGGGCGGAGATGGGGAGGTGGCGGGCTGTGTAACGGCAGCATGAGTGTACTGAAGGTAGAGAGAGACAGTCATATTCAAGAGAGACAGCAGCAAGATGATAGGCTAACGATGTCCTTGTGTTGTTGTGCTATTGGCTAGAGAGACCAGCTGATCTAGACAGCTGATATCATGATTGACGGCCCCAAACAATAACAGCAAGGAAATAATGAGGGTGCCTGCATGAGGAGTGATGGCAGATGTATGGTAAATAAGCTACGGGCTTAGGCATGCAAGAGTATAGTCTTCCTGTCTGAACTTACGCTAGAGCTTCATATACACCATATCATCTTCATAGCAATGAGTGTTAGTTCCATGGGCAGAAACACCAAAATGATTTATGTAAAGAAAAAAGAAAGGAGGTCAAGTACAGAACCTTGAGGCACTCCATTAAATGCAATAAGCCAGCCTGAACAGGGCCCACTGAATTTCAAACACTACGATCTAAACCTTAGTGAGGCTACAACTAACAAAGACAATGTGCTGTATATTGAGGCATATGTTCGATGTGTAAATATCTCTTTACATTATCTCACCATACTTTCATCTCACTAAGAGCAGAGTTAGACAGGAGCTAGCAAAGGATTAAAGATGCTTCACAAAGGTAAGTAGAGAGCTTAACACTGCTCAGGACAGTAATCCCAAAGGAGCTATTGCGTTGTGGGGAGTTATACACGGAAACAACAGTTTTGTTTTTGTCACAGGAGAGGAAGGTTAAGAGCTTTTGAACTTGTTCTGCTGCCTCCCATGAAGCTGTCTGTGCTACTCATGGATTTGATTCTGGATGTTTGCAGCAGCAATGGCATTTCCTCTCCAGCGTTAGAGCAAAAAAAACAGGTCAAATAGCTGCTGCTGCTGGATCAGTTGTTCAGTGGGGGTGAGCATATCAGCAGGGTGGAGAGGTGGGGGGGTAGCAAAGCCACATGACCGATTTGCCAATTAGGTTGGAAAATGGCACATTGAAGGAAATAACTGCCCACCATGTCGGTCTCTCTGCCTCCTGTCGCTGTATCGAAGGCTTATTAAACTTTTACAGGGAAAGCTTGCTCGTAATGCGATACAATTCTTGTCAGAATCTCTCCAGATAAAGAAAGAGATGAAGGGAAAGACAGAAAAGAGATTATAACACAATGGTTGGAGTTTGAGGTTTTTCCTTTTGTCAGACTTTCTCTTAAATGAGAGCTGAAGAAAAATACTTCATCTGTCCATGTGCATATTAAAAGCTACTCAGAAGCTTTCTGTATGAATTTGAAATGACATATAAGAGAGACAAGCTAGTAAGAGTTTTCCTATGTTAAGACAGGTGCCATTAATAATGCACATACAGCATCTGCACAACACACTAAATGTTTAAGTAAAGAAAAATCCGCCAGCCATCCAGATAAAAGCATCAACATTTCTGTAAGGGTTTGTTTAAATTACTATGATTTTTAGAGCTGTAACAATTTGTTGGCAGAAATAAAATCAGTAAGTTACATACAGCCCTAATGATGTTTATAGGAAATAAATTGCTAAATAGTTTGTTTTCGAGTCCCAGTTCAGAAATTGTCAGAATTTTAGCAGACTCTCAATTCCATTAAGGAAGAACACCTGTCCTGTAATTGAGAGATCGTAAATAAATTGTCAAATTGTGGAAGAAACACCACCACTACTCCATGTATATTCTTTAAATATATTTTAACGTACAGGACCAAAACTAACCAGTCACTGATCTATAAGAAAACCAGTTGTATTGACAACTTGCTAAAGTTATCACCAAGGTTAATTACAGAGCAAAGTCATCGGAAGGATCATTGTAACACAATTCATTATGATGCAAGTGTTTGTATCCTGATGTGAAGATAAAGATCATTTATTTTCCAGCAGCGATGTGACACGTATTGGCCTCATCCTGCGTATGAACAACTCTAATGAGAGACAGTTTGTCAGGCCAATCTGTCAGATCTGATATCACATTTGTTTAGTCTGCTGTTTGGCTGCAGGCAAAGAAATAATGTATCACTGCATGAGGGCAAGACAAGAACGCCTGGATTAGACATGCAACGCTGAGCTGATGAGGTTTTACACATAACGCTGTCAGCAGAGAAGCTAATAGAATGCCATGCTGTATTATCATGAGCAACCGAGCAAGCACAACATTTTCTTAAAAGCGTGGAGGAAGTGTGTGTGTAAAAACAGACCCTGCTATGCCTTCTACAATTTCAGAACCTCGCTGCATGCAGACGGAAGTGTTGTTTTATGAAAGACTTTAGAAGATCACAATCAGTCAGCAGAGCAGAGAAAGCCATAGCATATTTTCTCTCTGTATACAGCAGCATGCGGAGTGCAGCATTTCCAAGCATCCTCTTCCAGTTCTCCTTGTTTTTGGACAAACTCCTCCCACTCCATCTGCACACAGGGACATTTCTCTCTGGAGTGTTTCCTCTCGCATAATTTTCAGCAAAATGCTGACACGGTAAAGAACTTTGGCTCTGATCATTTGGAACTCAAATGCAAATTTTTCTCAAGCAACAACCTTAAATTATTTCTTTGCTCTTTTCGAATGAAAGGCAGGCTAAAAAAAAGGAGGGAGGAAAGCCCAAAGGAAGACTGATGGTCCCACAGGAGCAGTGGCAACAGCCAAAAATGTATCAGATCAGGATTCAGGAAACACGCATATCGGCAATCTGCTTTTAGTAGCAAAGTGGATAGCGGCCAATCTGAGAAATGCTTCTAAGAATGCACGAGCAGTGTTGTTTTGAAACGTCAGGCCCTTGGAGAGTCGATATAATTACACAAAACTAATAACGTTCATTTAATAACAACGTTATATTGCTGTAAAAAGATGAGCAAATGATAAAGAGATCGGAAAAAGAGAGAAAACACCAGAAAGAATGAACTCCACTTCTGCGTAAAACAGTTCAAATGTATCCTGCTAAAGTGAGAGAGAGTACCTGTCCGTATTCACTTTGTTTTCCATCTCATATCTTTGTCCGTCCTTGCCCTGTGCCGTCTTGTCTCGTTTGTCACAGCAGCACTCCTTGCAAACTGAAGACAAGGATTACAGTGAGCGTGGCAGACTTGTAACTGCTTCACAGAGCAATCTAAGAACAGCATGTGAATGTGTCCGTACAGTGCTTTTGTATGGCTCACTGAGGCATGAATGTGCCATTGACCTTTTTCAAGATTCTAAATGTATTCAGGACCATGCAATATCAGATTGAGAGCACAATACAAACCAAGGCTGCAAAATGTAACTTCCTAAACATTTCATTTTAAGTGGATGTTTTAAAATCGTTTTATTCAAACAACATTTCAAATGCCAAATATATTAAATTTACTGGCATATATGACAAAGACAATTTTGACTTATTAGAAACTGGAACCAAAGAATGTTTGGTCATTTTTTCTTGAAAAAGGAGTTTCAAGTTGTAGAGGACTGTTGCCCTCCGCCAACATCTCCTTAACTTGCACTCTTGTCAAGAGGAGGCAAATATAATAACTTAGAGCATAATCACCATAATTTGCCAACCGAGATCCAAACACACATCTCCTACTAGGATACTACGGTGCTAGCTACTATAACCTACGAGTATGATGGGCGGGTTAAGCTAGTCTCCCCACACCACATCTCATTTGATAAAGTTATGTTCAAGATGAGTCATTTATATATTTCAAAGGGGACATATTATGCTCACTTTCAGGTTCATACTTGTATTTTGTGTTTCTACTACGCTTCAATAGCCACATTATTTTCCTCATACTGCCTGTCTTAATATACCTGGAGCAGATCTATCTCAACAAAAAACAATTCCAACTTCCTTCTTCCTGGCAATCCCACATCACACAGCTAAAAAGAACACTTGCTCCTCTTTTGGGTAATGCTACACAGGAAAGCAATGTACCCTTTTTATTATGTAAGTTGAACAGTATTTCAGCAGCACCCACACAAAAAAGCTTGTGTAGCCTGTATTTTGTACAGCAGAGTTGGAGAGCAGATCACATGGAGCCTGCACAGCAGAGTTGCTGCTCGGCCTCAGCTTGAAGAGGAGTTGAAACAGTCCTCCTGCTCAGGGGAGGGCGGGGGCGGTTTGGTGGGGAAAGGGTGGGGAAAGGGGGGGGGGGGGGGGTTGATTGGAAGCTGGGTGCAGGAGGGAGGGAGCAGAGGGGAAAATGTGCATCATGGGTCCCATGACTCAGTTTGCTGCTCTGAACAATCTGCACCCTGAGGGGCTGTACAAGGTCTATCCAATAAATAGGCCATGTAGCTGCGTGTGTACACGGGGCAATAACGCCACTGGGTGCCCTATGATGGCATCAGCCACACTTTCCAGATCCCAACAGTAGCTACGTGACTCCCTGCACTGGCTTTGTCCACAGAGCAAAACTGACACTCTCTCATGAAGAAATGTGCTCCGCTTTGTTAAAATTGATCAAATTGTTATAAGGGTCTGGACCTTTATCTTTGCGTTGGCTCGTATCCCTCCTTTAGTGCTTTCTGCATGACATGGCACTAAATTCCACTCTGCGCAGCATGAATCATGGGGTTGATCCTGGCCCATGCTGTCAATGTTTATGAGGTATTAAAATGCGAAGACTCTGTCTCATTTACTTCGAAATTACCACAGAGCAATGGGCCAATGTGTTTGGAAAACAAGCTTTCTAGTGGCCTGCGTTCTGCTGCAGTGAACAGGAGACCATAGCAGCTTTTCCCCCTCTGTGGATGATAACTACATGGCTTCATATCTGCCAATACCTCATAGTTTTTCTAAATACGTTCACATTTGATCTCACATTATTGGGCTGTTACTTTACAAGAAGTCCAGAGAGTTACGGCGTAACAAACATTGCTTCCAGGCGATCATTCCATCAGAATGTCAGGATCTTCCTTCCTCTATTTTTCTTCAAATTGATATTTTGCCAGCAACTGCATCTTACACCATTAAAATGTACGTCTTGCAGCACATAAAATCACTTAGCATCTCCATTAGTGGCACAAGTGGTTCTTTTTTCCTGCCTCCAGGTGACAGTTTATCTGTAGACATTCGCAGTTTAAAACAATTTGCTCGGCTCCAGCCAATTCTAAACATCACTTTAATCCATTAGTACACTTATGCTCAATGTCACAGTGACGCAGTCAGTGCAGCCAACTGTCCTCTTTTCCACAGACAAACACCAAACACTCCCTATAGTAAACATTTTGACAAACGATTCAATGTGGCTCACTAAAATGGAAAAACACAATCGTCATCATTGAGAGGTTCTTATTCTAGATAGTGATGCATGCGTATGTCAGTGTTTCTCGTTTTAGCCACGCTAACAGCGTGGCTCAGTGGAGGGGAACCACTTCACACTGAAATATCTCAACTATACGATGGATCGCTTTGACATTTTGCAGAGACATTCATGGTGGAATCCATTCTATGGGTGCTTAATGCCTTTGTTGATCCACTGACTTTCAATATAGTGCCTCCGGGAGACATTTGTGGTTGTAAGTGAATTGCCTCTGCAACTATTATATAGATTACAATGAAATTTGCAACACACATTCATGTCCCTCTCAGGATGATTTGTAATAACTCTGGTGATCACTTCACATTTTCTTGTAGCGTAACCATCAGATAATACAATTAAACTGGTCCGATCAGTCTTCATCTTACTGGTCTAAATGTAGACTTTCATTAGGTTTTTATCCGGGACAAGAGAGGAATCACACAACGTAGGCGATGTAGCTCACTCGATAACGTCCTACATCCATTTAGTTGCTGTTGGCCTCCAGCATCTTAAAAAGCCCTTTTTATTCACATTGTCCCCCTTGGGTGTCCACTGCTCGAGAAGAAAAGTGTTTCACTTTGATCATACATTATTCAAAGTCTCTGGCCATTCCTTAAAATATTCAACTTAAGCACATTTTTTTTTTTGCACGTGTCACTTCAGGTCCCTTGTTTCTCTGCTGCTGTTGTTCATCAATTGCAAATACCCGTTTCTAACTGAGCCACTAAGTGAGCATTACAAAAGTCTCCAGAGGGGCAGCACTTAGGGTGAAAACATCTAAAGTGTGACATACTTTGTCATGAAAATAGTGAAAACATGGTTCTTTTACGTCACATCGTGTCCAAAAGGACCTGCTTGAGTGGGTAACTGTATTATGATGTACTGGTGGCCATAGCTAGTGTTATACGCATTTATTCATAGGTTTTGAGGAAATATGCAAATAAGTACAGTCAACTGTAACATTAGGGAAGAGAAACCAGACGCCTGATGTCATGCTTTGCTTAGGGCCACACAAGGTCAAAATGGTGCACGACTTACTTGTTTTGCCCAATTGAAAAGGTAGAGCTCTGTTTTTTTTTTGAGGAGGAGGAATCGGCAGTCTGATCAGATTTCACAGCCTTTGACTATCATATAATATGCATGTTATTCGTAACAAACTCTAATTTAAAAAACACATCGTCATGGGATCATATTGTCTCCATTGTCAATCCCTGATGAGAAGTCTCCCCTCAGAAACTGAATGTTGATTTCAAGTCAATAGTTGCTCAGGTCATCTGTGAATAGTATCTTTTTAGCAGATATAAGATGAATGGAAACTAACAAAGCGCGTGTCTTTCTGCCTGTTTTCTTAGGTTGCATTTCACATCCAACCATACAGAGGACGAAACGACCAGAGTGTGCACGACAACATCAAGTATATTATTGACAGGTAGGCTGTGCTTCTCCGTCACTGACTCAACCATTACGATTTCATGCACGGTTAAAAGAACATTAGTTACAAAAATGAAATACTTTTAGAACGCATTTCTGATTAGATAAGTCTAGTTTCATGAATGAGTTTTTGAAGCAAATTAAATTTTACAAAACTTTCAGAATAAAGGTTGCTCTGAAAAGGAGCACCTGTCAAGTACATTCAAACTCAAATGCCCAAAACCCCCCAAAAGATTTTACATTTTCAACAAATGTTAGCAAGAAATGGAAAGCAAATCTTCATATGTTGTCATTAAATGAAGAATCATTTACCCTCTGACCTTCTCTCTAGCGGCCCTATTTGGTCCTAATTTTCCCTCGAACAACATATTTGTCCATGACAATGTATCCTAAATCTATTGGCTGGCTTTTCATTACATTTGCTGTTTGCATTCATGGTGCCAAGAGGATACAACTGTATGTTTTAGGTGATCCTACAAACCTCCTTTAATTACTTAACAGAAAGTTTCCACTTTTGTTACCCGTCATGTAAACATTGAATAACTGATTTATCATGGCCACTTGGGAGCAGCAGAAACCAGTTGTGAACACAAAATTAAGATTTTCTCACCTTCGATATGGTGAACAGTTGCTTATTTACAGTTACAGAGCAACTTTTTATTCCTTTAGAGTTGTGTTTCTGGCCACACAATGGTCCAATATTCACTCCCTTTTAGCTCTGGTTTTGGTCGCGATCAACTCCTGTGAGAAAAAAAAAGAAGATTGTCAAGAAACCTACTGAGCAGATTCAGGCTCCCCAGAAGATGAATCCTTTCCATTTTTAACCCGAGCTTTCCTCTTGTGTTTTCCTCATGTCCCACAGTCAACTTAAACATGCAGATTATACTGAGACTATAATAATAGTAATGCTGAGAGGATAAACCCTTTTGAATTGACTCTAAAGACCCGTGTGTTGTTTTCTTTAAAAAGGTATGGTGACCATGGAGCCTTCTACAAGTTCACTTCCAGCACAGGGAAGAGTCTTCCTCTATTTTACATCTACGACTCCTACCTGACTCCTCCAGAGTTCTGGTCTGAGTTCCTGACTCCCACCGGCTCCCACAGCGTGCGTGGCTCAGCCTATGACTCCATCTTCATTGCGCTGATCGTGGAGGAGCGCCACAAGCACGACATCCTCGCAGGAGGCTTTGATGGCATGTACACTTATTTTGCCTCCAACGGTTTCTCCTTCGGCTCCTCTCACCAGAACTGGAAGACCATCAAAGCTTTTTGTGACGGCAACAACCTCCTCTTCATCCCAAGCGTTGGACCTGGTTATATCGACACCAGCATCCGGCCGTGGAACAACCACAACATGCGCAACAGGGTGAACGGTCGTTACTATGAGACAGCCCTGCAGGCAGCGCTGAATGCGAGGCCGGACGTCATCGCCATCACATCATTTAATGAATGGCACGAGGGAACGCAGATAGAGAGGGCAACGCCCAAAAAAACAGTGACCCGTGTGTACTTGGACTATCAGCCACACGGACCTGATCACTACCTGGAGTTGACCCGCCGCTGGGCGGAGCAGTTCAACAAAGAGAAGGAGCAGTGGCTCATGTGAGCTTTCATCAAACTGACTTGAAACAGCATGCTCGAGTGGAAGTGTGTGTGCACATGAAGGAGAGACAACAAAGGGGGGCGAGGGGGAGTGAATGTTGAGACTGATCAGGATAGATGCGAGCGCATAAAGATGAGCCGAATGTGAGAGTTTCTGCAAGTGTGTGTGCGTATTTTTGTGCACACATGCCGATCTGCAAGAACAGGACACTGTGTCGTCGGTGTGACTTGTCTCGTTTGAGTTTCTGAGTAAAGCAGCATTAAAGAAAGGGTTATTCTGGGGGAATTTGTTCCATTGACAGCCCAGAGTCCTAAAATGTTCGGTCGGCCGTCTCTTGGTCTTTGTTCACTTAATGTAACTTCATGAACTGTCTCAAACACACGAAGAAAACCGTCATCATGTAGGCTAAGGGCCTCCTTCCCTCTCTGTGGTTAAATAATAGAATTGATGACAATAGCCACTTCTACGGTTTCACTTTCATACACTAACGGTGACTTCCCCTTTGTTTGAAAACGCATGACATACTGCATACTGAATCTGTATGCACTGCATACTGCCTATTAAATTAACCATTTAGTATGCCATTACCAGCACACTGTTCACACTGAAGTATACCCAAGCAATACATCTTCTCTGCATCACATGACTGTATCGATGACAACGTTAATGGTCCGCGCTACCATTGAATGCAAATTGTTTATCACAAATTTTAAATCAGCATTACCTCTACCACTCAATTTAATATGTTCCTGTATTATTTTAAGGCAAATTAAAATTAATAAATATTTTTAAAAGTGGGCTCCGGCACTTTTTCTTTTCAATTGTTCCTCAATGTCACCATCATTCCTAATGATTTGAAATATTCAAACCGTCTGTTTCACTGTCAGCCAATGGACAGTCTGAAAGGCAGCAATGCATTTTGGGGGCGGTTGAGGATGTCCCAGTAAGCTCATGTCTCATACTCAGAAATTCTTGGTATGTTACAGGCATTTCTCGTGTGCACAAAATCCACATAATACGCAGTTGAAACGCACTACATACTAAATATTACATCATACTTAGTATCAACAGTGTGTTAGGGTGCAAGTTTGAATCCAGCCATGGTGTTTTAAAAAGCAGTAAGTAGTGGTTAAGCAAGTGAAGAGAACCATTTAGGAAAATACTTTCAACTCACGTTCTGGCAGACAGTTGGACAAGAAGATTGATGCCACTCTCATATTTGCCTGTTAAATAAAAAATAGTCTGGAAACAGCTAGCCTGGTTCTGTCTGATGGTGTCAAAATTAATCTACCAGCTGCTCTAAAGCTAATTTATTAACACATTATACCTCATTTGTGTAAAAATTACATGTTAGGGTTTTTGCAATTTCTTGGCCGGTTGCAGTGACTTTCTAGAGTCTCTGCTGGCTGCCCGGCAACATTCTGGTTACGTCAATCAATGTTAATGGTGGGCGCCACCTTCTGCCACTGAAGTGAAAACTAAATAGAATCAGTTAAGTGTTAAGGTTGAGGCTCAATGTTTTGAAGAGGCTATATGAATAAAAACGCACCAATTACTGGAGCACTCTGCTATATTCATTTGATGAAATCATGCTGTCTATTAAAGTAAAAAGGTACTTTCAAACTGGCATTTTTGAGAATAAAAATATGCTCTTTGGTTGAGACGGGCACTTAAAGTGGTTTCTGCTCTTTAAAAAAAAGAAAAATATCAGATGCTTAACTTCCAGACACCTAAAAATAAAGACAGAGGTATGGCTCAACAATTTTCTGATGCAATAATAACACTCAGATACTGAAAAAAAACAACTTTTATTGTGGTTGCGCAATCCATCAAAACAAGTCAATACAGGCGATGCGAATTTAGAAAATGCTGCAGTTCTTAACTTGTAAATGGAGAGAAGAAAGTATTTTCAAACTTGTGAATGTAGGTTAGGCTCCAACATAAAACAGAGCTTTTGTAACTGTCGCAGGAGACGAATCGTGCAAGCCTCACACGTTAAAATGACGTGGATAAAATAAATAAAGGAGATTCATGAGATAATAAAATATAGTTCTGGACTCAAGTTTGATGTATAGTCAATGCAAGTCATAGAACTCCTCCCATCCCTTATGTTATCACATTTAGGTCATAAAATGAACCCTATGACAATTCTAACCATGATAGAAACATTAAAATATATCTCACACCATTGTATCTTCTGTTAATCTGACCTCCTTTCTAAATAGACGGTAGAGAATTGTGACGCTTCAAGATCCCACATAATCCCGAGATAGAAGACGCATAAAGGAAAAGAGTTACTCCAGTCCTTAAATCAGCCACCAGAACGTCAGCCGTCGAGTCGTTCCTGAGTTCTAGTCCTTCTCGGGAAAAACTCATTGTTCCACGTGAACATGAAAAGCATTCGTCAACGGTCAACACTTGGTGTGCGTCTCAGCGTGTGGAGATTTCAAAAGGTCCATCTTCCCATGGCTCCTCTGACAGTCCATATTTGTGCTCCAGCACATCAACCGTAGAAGAAAGAGCACTAAAAACGGAATTACAGTTATTTCCTGTTTAATGTACCGAGTGTCCTTCAGAGTAAATGTGGGAGGACACAATGCAATAAAGTGTTTTTGTGGCCGTAGCCATGTTTCAATCTGCTAATCAATGCATTACACCCCTGATTACTCAAGTATTTACATATTCTGACTCCATAGGCTTGACTACTTTGTTTACTAGTTTTCAGGAGATTCATAACCACAGCAGGAGGCCCATCCTCCCAGTGGTGGAGTACATTGTGATGACACTGTTGCTTCAGTACGAAGCACAGCAGTAACCCTGGCAGGTGCTTAATGCATGCAGGTGCATGTTTCTAGGAAAGTAGCCTGTGTTTTTCCTTTGGTGCGTATGTTCCCTTCTTCCTGAGTTGTGTAATAAAACAGGTTTCCTCTTTGTTCAACTTTACCATGCAAATAAGCATGGGCAGTCAACAGTGTCCCAAATCCATATTACAGTAAATAACAATTCTATACAGTAAGTACTACATCCTCATAGTATACTGTTTTAGCAGTCAGTATATAAAAGTATCACATGCTTTAGATACTAACATTTCAACAGTAAGTACAATATGTGTCCTATTGCTAATTGAATATCCCAAAGAGACATCACAATGCTTTCCCAAAAATTTAACACTAAATTAATACTTTTTGTTCAGCAAGATTTTTTTGAACCCGCTTCACCACCAGCCATAATTTATTTGAATAGTCATCACCTGTAAGCATCCTTCATACTCTGTGTATTTAATATGCATACTGTCTGCTTTGAGTATACTTCCACTGTGAACACACTGCATCCTAAAAACCAGTGTGGAGAATGGATTTGTGAAATGCGTTTTGAAATGCAAATCATTATTATACTGCCAGATGATCAGTCTCACACAGTATGTACAGATCAATATCTATTTATGACTGAAATCTGATCCATCACATCACATCCTCTGTCTGGAATATTTTCTGGAACCGAAGTGTAACGTGACCTGTATCTCGTTCATTTATTTAGTGTACATATCAGATATATATCTGATATATATCCTTTAAATGTTAATTGAATATTCCTGGATTAGACAGTTGTGAGAAATTGTCATAATTAGCATATGAATTACTGAGTTACGGCCCAAAACGTGTTTTGTGAGGTCACAGTGATCAGCTCATCCTTGAGTAAAGTCTTTCTTTGCTAAAGGTTTGGTGCTCCTGTGGATATTATTGGTGGGGAGGATCTAGTTTGGGGGAGAGTAAATGGTACATGTAACAGCAGAAAGAAAAAGCTAACTGGGTCACAAAAAGCGCATGAACTCACCAGCCGGGTCTGATGATGCTGTATTTGCCGTGAACCGATAGGTTGACCACTGTTGATCCGAGGCGGCTCTGGTCTCCTATTGGTCCGCCATCCACGACCACTGCTAGTTTGGGCCAGAGCTCCTGAAACTCCTTCAGAGGACAAACCGCAACATTAAAGAAGAATTTAGAAATCTTAAATGACAAAGAGATAAAAACAAAGAGAGACACCCTTCCAATACTGAATGAAACACAGTGAATGCGAGACTGATAAAAGCATATCTCAGCTTGTCTTGTATTATTTTTCCCTTACGTGCGCGGCCAAGGGGCTGGTGTGTGAGCTGATGTTGGCGCTGGTAAGAGCGAGTGGTTCGGCACACATCTGGCAAAGGCGTCTCATGAAGACATGGTCTGGGATACGAACACCGACAATCTGAGGGGCACATGGACATGTTAGCAGCAGATGACTGACACTCGGTGCTAAACCATTTGTTTGCGGTTCCATTTTCAGTAACATCCAGTTGAAAAGGAGTGGACTTACTGAAGTAAAGGGGTTGAGATCCTTGTTCAGTACTTCGGATCTTTCGAGCACCAGAGTGACGGGACCGGGCAGCAGGTCACGTAGCAGCTCTTCCTTCACCTTCACCTTACAGTACCTGACCACGGAGACAAGCACAATGTTTAAAAGTGACTCTAGACTGCTCTCATACGGCGGTTACCGCAGATAACGTGATGTTCTTTGTTTAATCCAAGATGTTGTCAGCTGGTAGTCTGCCTCATGTCCTCTGTATTATTTTGTGATTTACTTAAGAATGCCTTAATTTAAAGAGATTCCTCCTGAGTAAATAATGAATGAATCCTGGGGTATTTCTGTGACAGCGGGTGTGATCATCACTCGAAGTGTAAAATGTGTCTTGTTGGTGTGGAGACGGCATCTCTGCCTCTTCTAGGTCTGACTCATCTGCGGATGACTAATACATGTGGTCGGTCTATGATTAAAACCATCACACTTCTGAGGGACTCACACCAACAGGCATTCAAACTGTTTGAATGATCAGTTGACCATCCGTCAAACAACAAAATGGGCGCCAGATCTACGTCTTCCTCTCATTCTGGAGGTAAAACAGCAAGCGTTCGTACATAAACTTACTTATAGATATCCTGGATTTCTCCTACACAGATGGCCAGCGGGTTGTGTCCATTTCGGCCTTTGATGTCGTAGGTTTTTCTGACGGCTTCAGAGTTCTGGGCCAGACATGCCAGGCCGTAGATGGTGTCTGTGGGCACGCCGACCACGTGACCCTCCTTCAGAGCCTTCGCTGTACAACTCAGGATTTCAGCACCATCTGCAGTTCAAAAAAAACAAGGGAGGGTAAATGTGAGGCATCATCCATTGCGGGACACACGTGACAACAAAACACAGAGGGAAGAAAATGTATACGAGTGTCATTTTCAATATATATGTAATGCATGCTGGAGATTGATTCAATGGTAGCGAAGGGCTGAAAAACGTACAGAAATAGACGGTAACAAATGACAAGTGTTGCTCTAGAGCTGCATATAAAGGGCAATCCACTGAACTCACATGTGAAAGTCTATGTGCTCATTATGTGGAGGACTCCTCAGCCTGTGATAACAGTTCCAGAGCACAGTGTCTCATAGAACTATTGACTTGCATTTTGGGAAGTGCAGTATACCAACTTTAACAAAAAGGTACATGACACTTGTGTTACTTCATATATCCACTCCACTGCATTTCTGAGGTAACTGTGGTTTCTCCTCAACTGCACTTATCTAATCACAGGGTACTTTGCAGGAAAAAAGGCCTGCATGCAAATCATATGATGAAGCTATGAATATGATAAATATCTTTAGTTTATATTCCTCAACTAAATGAGAAACATTTATTACAGATCCATAGTTCATCAAGTAATTTCATTTCCAATAGCTGACTGATGACATCTGATGTCATAGACTGTCACATGATGACATGATAAATAAAGCTTTGATGCTCAGTGTGTGCAGGCAGCTGTCTGATTATAAAGCCTGTCAACGTTACTGTATTAGACTACGAAATAAGCTCTGTGTAGGTGTGTACTTGGCACACGCATGACAGGAAAAACAGAAATCTGATGTAACACGCTGCCAGGTTTGCGTCACTTACTGACAAACATCATCTAACATTACTGTAGCTCAAATCTATTAAAGTCATGCACCTGTAGTCTACAGGGATGCACGTTTGCTGTGAATATGAGCTGACCTGTTTGGCTCTCCTGACGGACACATGGCCCATTGGAGGTCGGCGGCAGCAGACGCAGCACTTTGGTCTTGAGCTCTTTGCACATGTCTCCTCCGAGCGGACGAGCTGAGGCTGAACTGTGAGCTCTTCCGGATCTGATTAATTCAACAGCGACTTTACAAACGGACTTCATACAATCAAAGCTGCAGCGGCGGTGTCACCTCATAGCCGGGGAGCGTGCATGTTGATATGACAGAACTCTTCCGGGTTACGCCCCTAAATAATGACGCCAGCTCACTTAAAGGGCCAGCAGCACTTTGTTTTAACTATCAAGTGGGGAAAAAAGTTTGGACTTGATGGTTCTGTTTTATACGTATTAGATCACTCGATTTATGGTATAACATTGTATACATTACGATAAGATATCAATGCTCCTTTTGTAGTACATTTCTCCAGGTATACTCCGGGGATATTTCTGCGTGTTTTATGTTGTAGTTCATAACAAAATGGTATATCTTATAACTTTTTTCATTAGCAAAATGTCATATCCCAAAACTATTGATACATGTAACATACATATGGAAATGATCCCAAACTTATTGAAAACTCTGGACCGCTGAAAAATGTGTTAAATTACTTTTAATTTTTCTTTATTTATGTTCATGCCCGGATAATATGTTGTATTATTAAAGTTTGATTTTACACGATTTTGCAAATCCAAAATAAATAAAAAATAAAAATAGTAGTCATAGACTATATATGATTTTAGTCTGGTGTTATTTTGCAAATGTCTGGAAAAGCATTTTCTGGCACTTCTTCAAACCCTCAAACAGATCTCAAATCCACATGACCTGCATGCCCCCTCATTACTCATTAATTAGGGAAATTTAAATCACCTGTGAGCACTTACTTAAATATGCAGAAGGCACACACAATAAGGAAATGCAGAGTTAACAGGACAAACAATACATCTATGGTCATGGCTTCGGAAACAGGTAACAATAAATGCACTTTTGGGGTTTTACCAGTTACATTATTTATATTTCTCTAAGTAGTTTGTAAAACAGTTCCAGGTTGTTCAGACCTAACCATGCGAACTGAAGAGGCCGTTTCACCGGTTAAACAGGTCAGCCACGATCTGAAGCTTGAACTTTTGATTGCCGTCTGCCCAACACTAGCAAATGACCTCCATGTTTCTTCTTCGACAGGACCTGGAGGACGTCGAGGACAGACTAGTGACCCTGTCCGACAAATTAAACCTGTGCAACCAAGTCCTGAATGACTTGAAGGCTCTAAGTGGTGTACTAGTGGTGAGCTCGCTTTTTCTCTCCTTGGACGGTTGAGACTTAATGCCGTTTTTTGTTTTTAAAAAGGCAATCTTTATTTCCCACAGAGAAAATCTCTCCAGGATGTGTCCTTACCACCGCAGAAGTGACCAGAAGTGGAACACCCCCCCCCTTCTTTCTATTTTATGACTAAATAAATCTAATTAAGGTCAATCTGAACTGTGAAGCACTTCATTAAGCAGAGGAAGCAATCATTTCAGTGACAAGGATAAGGTTTTATTAGTATTATATTGCTCTCAATTCAGAAATGTATTTATCATATTACTTTTGTACAAAACAAGCATAAGCAAACATTTTCACATTGTACATTCTTTTTAAAAAAAAAAAAAAAAATACAAACCCTTAATTATTCCTCACTCTTTGGGTTTCAAGACATTCCTTTGGAAACATATTGTTCTTTTCTCTTAAAATGTTGCCCAATAGGAAAAACTCAGCTCTCACCTTCAAAAAGAACTGGCTAACATTCTGTGATCAAACGATCTGCTTCCAAACAAATGTCTCCATCAGTGAATTGTTCTTCTGATGTTTGCATTTCAGGTTAACTCCCAGAAAGACAAACCTGGGCCACATGTCCACCGATTCATCTGCTTATTGATTTAAACAAATATGGACCGCTGTCAGTTCTACTTTCACTGGTGGAAGATGAGCCAACAAATTATCCACATCAACATTTTTAAATGAGTGAAAAGTGATTACATAATTGGAGTGAGCCCAAATGAATCATGTTTACACAAAATGTATCTGGGAAAGAAAAAAAGCTGCATACATTTGACAAACAATTCTTAAAACAGAATCATTCACTAAATACTCAAACAAATCCAGTTGGTTTCAAACAGCATGTAAAAAGGATCACACTGCAACATTCATGGGAACAGTACTCGGACACGCCACTCAAATGTGAAATAAAATGTACTGGACTTCCAGAAACGGGTTAAACATCGTATGCATTAGAAAGGCGACTTCTGCATACAAGGTTGTGGCAGAATGTGACTTCATGGAGGGAGGAATGAATGTTTGTCATGGAGTCAGTATTTTAACTTACTTATGCCATACGTAAAATTGCATAGTTCTTTGACTGTATGCATGTATGAACTGGACACCCGGCAGTCATTTTCAGTGCCTTTTACAAAGAAATGTTGAGTCAATTTATATTTTGTGATCCAATGGAACCGAGCACAGACACTAATACTGCATATATGGAATGGTTTAGAGCACATGTGTGACTGGAGCCTTTCACATATCTGACGGTCCTTCTTGGCACCTGTGAGTTGAGGGGGACGCTCAACTCCTAAATTTTGGCAAAAAGAAACCAGACGTGTGTTCTGTGACACGCGTGTCGGTTTGGTTTGATCCTACAGCCTGGATCTAAAAATGTAGAGTGACATCACTTATAACCGTTACGCTGCATATCCATTCACGACTTTCCAAACAGACGGCAGTTTCTAGGAAAACGGTAAACTTTTGTGTCTCGACGCTTTTCGCCTTATTGTGGTCTGCTGCTGGAAGTGATCGCCTGAGACTCGATGAGATGATGGGTTGGCATGTCTGTCTGAAGCAGAGACTGTGAAGGCAAGGAGGCTCAAGGAAATAGTTCTGTTGTAAGGCCAAGTAGCTCTGCACTCTCTCGTATACAGGGCATGATGCCTTGGTTCTCTCATCATTGCATTGTGTCCCGTGTGAAACAATACTGGTAAACTCTGAGCAGGAGGCTATGTGTTACGTATATTCTGTGACTATGGGGACTGTACAAAAGCCCAGCTGCTTGACGAGCGATTCAACGAAACACGGCAAAAAACTCTTCTGCATACATGTGACGGGGACGAATGCAAGGACAGAGGCTATACATTAACTAAGGGTGCACGCACGCACGCACGCTCCAAACTCAGTTAGTACTTCAAAAAGTCTGTACAAAAATACAAATTCTAGAATAATCTACAAGTTTCTCAAAAGATGTTTACACTAAAATGTACTGTATTTACATCGTCAGGACATCTTTTAAATGCTACTTTACAGCAGTTGTATACAAAAAAAAAAAAAAGGTCTGTAGTTGAACAAGTTGTCGGATTACTCACTTTACAAGTTAGTGTGCAATAAACAGGGAAGAGTGCAGCGAAACGGAGGGCTACAGCAAGTGTGTGGGCATCTGGTAAAAAACGTATGTCTGAGTAACAAATGAAGGGAACCGGGATCAGTTGTGAGTGACTTGATGCATCCCTGAGAGGGTCCCAACCCTAGAAAACACGGGGTGTCGACAGTAGGTGCTTACTGTCTCATTATGGACAATCTTTGCAAACAAGCGGATCCTCGGGACGTTTAGTTTCACTGTGCGTTCGACTGCAGGTGCCTCTGTTCTCAAACGATACCCATCACGTTCTTACAAAATTAAAATAAAACAATTCAGTAACATAAAAACAGCTCAACTTCAAAACACAAGTGATTGGAATAAATTAATAGATTTCTTTCTGCTATCTTAAGGGTAATACCAGTATGATGAAAGAATCATGTATTTCAATAAATTAACATGTACAATTTTAAATTAGTTTAAGTTATAGGCAACTTATCGATGTATTAACTTTTACTGAAAGAGGCAGATCAGCTCACAAGTTCTTTTCTCGATTAGTAAATATCTGTCAAAAGAAATAAAAGAACTATCACATCTTCTGGACTACACTAGTCTTCCTAGGGAAAAAACAACAACTAAATACGGAGGAAATCACTTCATGTTGTAGCCTTATGAGGGGCGATGTGACCAAACCCTTCAAATTACTATTGGGAGCAATGCTTAAAGTAAATTCCTCCAATAAACAGTGCATTCTGGTCAGTTGCATACCAGCGTTAAGCATGTTAGGACCTGTAGTACAGTACAAAGATATACAGACAAGTTGTTTTCCTGCTCAGGCGTCTGACCTTCAAGGAAAATGGAACTCTTAAGTTATCAGTGCTTCAACAACACTTGTTTGTTTCATCCAATCCATTCAGATTGGATATTGAGTTATTATATACATTTGGATTATGTTTATAAAAAAAGAAAAGGATCTACTGCCTTTTCCCTGCATTATCATCATTAGCATAGACATTGCTAAATCTCAATAAGCAAACTAATCTTGTCTTTAAAAATACAACTACTGCAATGAGACAAAAAGTATTCATAGTTTGTGTGTGTGTGTATATATATATATATATATATATATATATATATACACGTATATGTGTATGTGTGTGTGTTGCACAATTCTCTACAGAACAGAAAGCACTGCAGATTCGCACACTATATAGGGAGAAAGAAGAGGCGTCGCTGTGGGTGGATTTGAAGCCTGTGGGCGCACTCAGAAGGCCGCTCTTCTAAGGATTGCCGTCAGTGGCCATGCTGAAGTCATCGGCGACCAGCAGCAGAGCCTCGATGTTGGCGGCTGTCTCGGGGCTCTGCAGGGAGAGGAAGTCCGAGACGTCCATGTTGGCTAACCCGTCAGACGAGGGGGGGTTTGTGGCGGTGCTGCTCACTATCGTGGAGAGAGTCTGAGCTGAGGAAGAGGAGGAGGAGGAAGAAGAAGAAGAAGAAGAAGAAGAAGAGGGGACCTCCAGCCTCACCTCACCCACCTTGGAGGAAGCCGCGGGGAGGCTGCATGAAGAAGACGCGGTGGCTGGAGGATGTGGAGGCTCTGGGGGTTGTGACGGTGGGGGGGGAGGGGGCTCTGGTGGTTGCGGCGGTGCTGGGGCGGAAACAACGGAGGAGGCACTCTTTGAACTCTTGTCTTTAGCCACGTCCCTGCAGGCACACTGGCACTGGCAGGACTCCTCCTGTTTGATGATGATGACAGGCAGACTGAGGCCGATCTGCTGAACAGAGCTGCCTGAAAACAGAAAAAATTTACTTTAAGTTCACCGAAAACAAAGAAGCACAAATGTCCTGCAAAGCATACCAAAAGAAAGTTAAGATAAATATGAGATATAAAAGTTATAGTCACTATTTTAACAGTTCTAGCACGGTGCATTACTTGTGACAGTATCTTAGTGAAGCTCTCTGGACACCATTCTACCATTTAATGAATCCTATTAAAGCTGAGCACGGCCCTGGATATCAAAACTACATTTATGAGTTAATTACAGCCTTTTGGCCCATGTCTAAAAATATAGAATAACTCACAACTCATTGACTTACCAGCATTTCCTCCCACTGGAATGGCTGTGGTGAAGAAAACTTTTTCCACTTGAGTTCCTTGATGCGACTGTGAACAAATATTTAACACCACAGTTGAAGCAGGATATGATGAGGACACGCTAAAGCATTATAAGGTTGAAGGGAAATGTGTGGTGTGTCTGTGTTTTATTAAAAGTAATATAGATCAAAAGTAACACCTTTTCCTTTGCTACACTTACTGCAAATACAGAGTCCCTGCTGAGCACGGATGCAGCTTTTTGCTAATCCTCTCACGTGAACATACTTATGATTAGAAGGCAAAATGAAAGAAATGTAGGAATGCTTTTTTTTTTTTTTTTTTTATATATACTTAAGGACACATCACAAAATCAACACTAGCACAGATCGAGGCACCATTTCTCTGAGTGGGAGCATTACTCACCGCTTGATCTGGGTTCTGCTGGCTGCGGGCAGCACTGCTGAGGATCCACTGGAGGTTCTGGTCGGTCATGACCAGGCTGGGCTGCAGCAGGTTCGGGGTGGGAGCTATGGTGATGGTGGCGGGGGTGGTAGCCAAACCGGGGCCAGGGATGGTGACGGGGTGGTTGGCCAAAGGCACAGGTTGAGCCGCAGCCGCCACGACAGCGTCTGTTGCGGCGGCTGCAACGACAGACGCGGGAGCGGTGCCCGGCGCTGCGGTAGTCGGTGCTGGAGCCGCCGGAGCGGCGACAGCTGGCGGTAGAGGAGCGGTCTGGGTGTCACTATCCGGCTGCAGGAATGCGGGCGGCAGTGCCACGTAGTGCTGGGGGGTCACATGGTTCGGTGCTTGGATGGAAGCTTGGGCAGGCACGTCGGAGATCTGCTGAGGCCCGGTCACTTGAATGAAAGGGGGAGGCTGTGTTGAGCCGACAGCAGCGGTGACAGAAGCAGGCGTGGTGGAGGCCTGAGAGGAAGAGCTCCGACGGAGCCGGGAAGGAGCCTCCATAGCTGTAGTCGTGTGGGAACAGGAGGACGAGCAGGTAGGATGCAGAGAGAAAGAGAAGAGAGGCGATCCATCAGTCACCAGCGAGTGGGTAGGCGTCTCTAGGCTGAAGGATTCAGCAAGGCTCTCTGAGGAAGAGAGAAAATAAAAAACACTTCCCTCAGTGAACGAGAACATTCAATAGAATTCAGGCTGACGGTGTTTGGTGTGTACTCACCGTTGGGATGGGAATCATCTTGGCTGACACTATTTTCAGGACTCTGGAACATGAGCTCAAAGATTTTCACAGGGGTAACATTGCTGAGGTCCAAATGGTGAGCCTGCAATACAATTAAAACATATGTAATAAATGCATTAAATGGCAGAAATTCTTGTTTTACCTCTACATTTTTAATACAGTGACAATTGAACTTAGGTGTCGATACAGTTGCCTGTTAATGGCCATCTCTACGGACTATCTTGAGAACATGTTTTAAACCAGACTCACATTATGGATGTTCTCTCGTAGCTCCGAGTCGGTAGAGATGAGGCTCAAGTCACTGAGGCACAGCGAGTGATTTGCATCCTGTAATTAAGAGATTAATTGGACCCGATTAAAACTTGCCACTGCTTTGGTATCAAGCGTCATGAGAGTGGAGCAAAATTGGAAAAGAATGACAACAAAAAAATTGTTTCACCAAAAAAAAGCAAACTAGCGGCTAATGACAATGAATAACTATTAATTTGAGAAAAAGGTGTGCAAAAGTAGTTTTTATGAGAGTGGTTTACTCTAAAGATTTGCAGAGGTTCATTTGGTGTCACGTGAACCTCAGGCTGTGCATGGAGAACATGTGCTGTGCTGGGACTCACTTCAGAGAGCGGGTGGGTGAGGGTGACGGTGAAGGGCTGCCCTTTGTCATGGCCCCGGATGTGACTCTTCAGACTGTACTGGCTGCTGAAAGTCTTCTCACAGCCGTCGCTGGGACAGTTGAATGGCTTCTCCCCTACGGAGTGAAGAGAGACGAAGAGGGAAGGATACAGAAGGAGACTCGTAGTTACGCTTAAGCATTAAAACGTCAGCCGAGATAAAAAGTTGCTACTTAACTTTTAATAGAGAAAAATGTTACAAAGAAATCTAACAATGACCTCTTGCCAATCAGGGAAGTCATTTGTCCAATAAGTACACATGGACACAGCTTTTTCCATCTCTGCTTCTATAACTACATTTCTACACAGACCGTTGAAAGGAAGAGATAGTTCAAACAAAACCACAGAAAAATGTCCATATATATATATACACGTGTGTGTGTGTGGGAGGCAGTTGTAACAATGTAAATGCAAATGAGGCACAGCTGTTACATAAAACAAACCAGGAAATGTACCTGTGTGTGTCCGTACATGTGTTTTTAGGTGATGACTCGCAGCAAATGCTTTGCCACAGCCATCGTGGTCACACCTGAAGGCAAAGACAGAAAACAAAAAAAAAACCATGTTAGAAATATACAAATAGACTTTTTTAGAATTTTCATGACACACAAAGTGCAGCCCCCCCCCCAAAAAAACAGAGTAAAAGCATTAAATATAGCAATGCCCTAACCATGTCATTTGTGTAGACAAGCAAACATTAAAACAGACTTAGAGAGCGATCTGTGAGTATTTATCAGTATCACAGTTCCTTCATCTTCTACTAAAGGGGGGGGGGATTAAATATGGTGCGATAATGGAAATGCTCACCGGAATGGTTTCTCCCCCGTGTGTGTGCGAATGTGCTTCCTCAGGTCGCTAAGTGTGGTAAAGTACTTTGTGCATCCCTCTGATTCACAGTTGAATGTCTTGCCTGTGTGAAGTCTCTGGTGTGCTTTTAGTCTGTAGAGACAATCAAGTGTGTCGCATTAAAACCACAACGGGAGACATGCAGAGAGAAACAAGCGAAGCACAGTGGCATTAAACAGAATGTGTTGATTCCTGTTTTAAGACCGTCCACAAAGCATCATGAAAAAAAGACAGTCGAGTCCACATTTCGATCACAACTGCATCAACACAGACATGGAAGAAAACTGAACAAAGTACACGGTGAAGTAAGTGGTGGTCGTATAGGAGAATCTGCGTGCCATGGAAAACGGGGAGAGGAAAGTAATGGTATTGAAAAGAGAATCCACCCAGGTCATGTGTGCCACTAGTGGGCTGCCCTGGGTACCAGCCTGCGCCAGGGATTTAATGGCAGAGCGTAATCCAGACACAATACAGACCAGAGGGCTCGGATGGTGACTGCTTGAGACCTCAGCCAAAATACAGCAACATCAGAATAGTGAAAACACTAGAAACTAAGAACCTGGTCAAAATAGACAGACTGTAACCTGGGCCTGCTGTTGTCAAAAATAGAGCAGCACGACTCTATATAAAACCAAAGACAATTATACATTTCAGTTATATTGATGACACAATCCAATCTACATCACTTGTGTAAAGGCGTACCTGTATAGCGTGTTAAAGGCCTTCTCACAGCCTTGCACCTCGCACTCAAACGGCTTCTCCTTGGTGTGAACGCGCACGTGGATCTTGAGGCTGTAGGAGGTGAGGAAGGCCTTCCCACAGCCCTGTTGATTGCACACAAACGTGTACTCGCCCCGGTGGGTCTTCTGGTGCGTCCGCAGGTTTCCCGCCGTGCTGTACGTCCTGGTGCAGCCTTCGAACATGCACTGGTAGCGCTTCACCTGGCGGAGGAAGAAGAGGGGTGGAGGGACCTTAGTGCTTAAAAAAACATGGTTGAATTCAAACTCGGTTTGACCTTTCAGACGGGACCTGAACTCGATGACTCGGCCCCCCCGTCAGCACATGAAGCGAGCGATCACAAAAGGACAGTGATGATGGTGACTAACACCCCCATGCAATACATCCCAACCAATTCTGTTTCACAGCACCGAGCTCCACTGCAGTGTGGCAGTCTCCTGCTCCCTACTCACACAAAAAGCCCAGAGGCAATGTGAATGAAAAGCAGCTCATTCTCCTCTTCAAAACAACGTTACCCTGTGTTCAACACAACGTTAGGTGGAGGAAGCGTGTGGTGGACAAGAGGATCTACATTCTCAGCGACCAATATTCCTTTAACTCACTGATATTGTAAAAACAACTCCTTCGTGATGTTTAATATTTGTGATGGTGCAAGTGGTGGCTTTGGGAGTTTGGAGGAATAACTCACACATGGGTATGGTGTTCATCCTAGCAGTCTCAACCCTTCACTTCAGGACACCTTCTCCTACACACCTCATCAAGGCCATTCCTTTAGATTTTAAGGATGTGGGAGAGATCATTTGTGAAGCAAACATCCAGAGCTACTGTGGGACGCCTGCCAAAGCTTGTAGCTCAGCACTGTCTCCATCTCCCACACCATCGTGACTCTGCTCCACCATCGTGACTCTGCTCCACCATCACTTTGATCCGTGAGAGAGAATTGGATGATTTAATCTCCCACACGTATAGTGGAAAAAGACCACTGCATTACAAACTAAATGGTTATGTGAATGTATTCACAGCAATGTATTACTAAATGCTTGACGTTGCTCGTTGAATAAGCAAGATGGAGATAAATTTAGTTCGAGGTTTCTTCTGTTTTCTGGCGTGCGCACATTGAAGGATCGTGGCTGAACGCTTACTGTCCTCTTGGAAATTCCTTCTGTCATCATCATAACAATGTCACAGTAAATCAAGCCACAACAATAACATTGAACCTGAAATCGATACACATAAAAGCCAACCAACAATGGACAAACATTGATGTTGATCAAGACAATCCAACATGACACACAGATTAAACAAACACCAGGCTCGGCGATGCAGCCACAAGACTTCACAAAAGGAAGTACCCGGTTCCCTCAAAATCATGTCAACAGATGGTTTTCACTAAAAAGTGGATTTGACACATCACCACAATAATTGTATGTCGCATTTCCTTGATGGGAAGTGTGAACCATGTGTCATTTGAAAGAACTGAAATACAGGACAGGGTTCTTCCCAGCAGTCCTTCAGCACTGTACCCGTTAGCGCACAAGGTCCGGCTACTTTACCAGTGCACACCGCCAGATGTTTTCAAAGTCCACTTCCACTAATAAAGCTGGGATTGGTGTCAAAACCGAGCAGATTCTACACACGAACACGGAACACCACCAACAAACATAAACTGAAATCTTTGTTGCATTGAGTCGCTAACTTCTACCTCAAGCTGCTGGGGAAGCTAATTCTGAAAGACCTTCCAGCTTAATGTTAATGTATTTGCAACTGTACTTTGCATTTCACTTAACAAAATAGCAACCACTTGCTATATTGCTACATTATGCCTCAAACACTCTGTAAGGACAATAGACACGTTAGATCTATCTTTAAACCATCTGCTGTTCTGTTGAGCAATTAGCTGGAATGATTGGAAGAGCCTCCACCAACTAAACCGAGTGATTACTTCAACAATTACCAAACAATTACTTCAGCACTAAAGAAACAAAACAAAGCATTACTGCAGCAATAGAGCTGACCACATTCTATCCGCCTGTTGACAACATTGAACATCTGTGTTCAGACTAAACTTGACAGAAGAGATGTCTTTGGTAATCCAACAAGCATATAAAAAATTCATCAGTATGTACTAAGTAGCAGCTGTGTATCCTTCGGAGGAGACGCATATATTTAGGCTTACCTCTCTCAGCTTCGTCTCTGGGCACTCGGAGTGCAAGGTGAGGGTGGCCCCCTCTATGTTACGTGGCATGCGAGTGGAGCCTGGATTTATTGTGAACTGGATCTGGTCTGGAGAAATGGTGTGGTGCACATAACCCTGTGACATGCCATCGGGGTCGTTCATAAAGGCCAGAGAGCCATCCTCCTCATCTCCTTCCCCCTCAGTAAGGAAGGTGACACCATCGTCGTAGCCTCCACAGTGACCCTCCTCTTCTCCCTCCTCATCAAGCCGGATTGGGTCCCGCTCAATGAGCACCGTCGTGCGGTCATACACCCGTCCAGAAGACGACGAAGGCTCGGCGATCAGGTCGTCGTCTTTGTCGAAGTGTATCTTGTCCTCCTCTTCTTCTTCGTCATCATGCCCCAGGTGATCCACCTCCACCTCGAAGTACATCGTCGCCTCTGTGTGAGGGCCATTCGCACTCATGGTCCCTGGTGCCTCTCCTTCCTTGGCAGGGAGGACTGCACACTCGCACTGTTGACGTTACAGCCTGAAATATACATTTGTTAAATTATTATTACATAGAATTTGAGCTGAAGATACATTAAGGCATTCAAATAAGAAACACAGAGTTGGAGCAGACCTCATGTTTTCTGAGAGTTTGTTCCAGTTATGTGATGTAATAAGACTGAATGCTGCATCTCCATGAGTAAGCAATGCTGTCTCAAATGATCTAAGAGGTGTGGACAGTCCTTAACATAGCAGCAGATCTAACCGTAGCGGTGAGAAACGGGTCGCTCCCTGCGGTTAACAGGACACAAGCGGAAACTAACGCGACCACACCGGAATCTAGAACTTTCTGATAACAATGACAGAAGTCACGAGACAGTTTGCGGCTGAACGCAGCTAATTAAAACTGACATGAGTGATCATTTATTAACGCCCACCCCAGGCTACCTTTTAAAGGACGTTACGAGTAGCGTAAGAAAGATGTCACACACACACAAGAATGCCAGTTAACTTTTCCAATAACTTACTAGACATAGCTGGTTAGAGTGGCCTGATAAACACGCAGTGACTGCGAAGTTTACCCCCGTTTTGAATGACAATACTGTATTTAGCTTTAGCTTAATGTCACGAAACGGATGGTTGTTACACCGTTTAGCAAGCTGTGTAACAATAGATACTGACCTGACGTTATTTCTCAGAGTACGTCTTGGTCTGCATCGTTACTAGCTTTAGATATGTGTCGCTAGCTTCCTGCTACAAACACATATCAAACTGTCGCTGGTGTATATTAAATAACACGTCCATCGTTATTAGCACTTGTTAACATTTAAGTGACTCGATTGCAGAGTCAACATTTAACATTTCTGTATTTTCCTTACGTGCGTCAGATAGCAAACAATGTTCGGGACCTAGCAATGAGAACTAACGTTATCACTTATTTCTCTGCACATGCATAGCTTTGCTAGCTCACAGCTAAGCTAGGGAGCTAGCTAGTAACGTTAGCTAGTTCCCTGTCGACAGTTGACGTTACCTATCTTCCGTTTGCTAGGATAACAAGTTTCACGACACCAGGTGACACACTGACCAACACCCAGTACCGCGTTAACGCGTAGGTTCATCAACTGAAAAGGAAATTACATTAAAATATATTTACCTGTCCAATTTTAAGCCTTATCCCTATGCTTTGGGTGTTTAGCACTTTCTTTCTATCCCCTCCCTGTGATACCAAACAACGTCACAGACTCACAGCCATTCGTGATGAATTATGGGAAATTAAAGAGCATTTCGACTGTTAAATTAAAACATCAAATGTCATTCTTTTTTAAAGAACAAGTGTATTTTATAAATTGTATTCTCATACAAACACACTGAGAAAAATAAACAATTGTGTTTATTTCTTTGATTGTAAAAAAAATCACCAGTGACACATACACATTATCTCCAACCATTTTATGTATAAAAACAATTTGCTGTTGAGATCAGAAACATTAAAATACAAATTATTTGTTTAAATAAAATATACATACATTTCAAATTGTTACGTCTCTACAGATGCTCAATGATATACAATAAAGTCTGTGCATTCACACATCACAAAGCTTGCTGTGTGTGAAACAATTAACATCAGATAAGAACCGTCACTGTAATTATACTACATATCTATACAAAGAGCCATCTAAGAAATCATTCAGGTTTATTTCAAATACTGGACTGTACAGTTTTTAGTGTTCAGCTTCAGCATACAGGACAGGAGGGTCCTCCATCTAGGAGGAGCCTTGGGCCAGGAAGTGCTGAAAGAACTCCTGAGTCTTCCTCTTTTCTGCAAGATCCTGCTTGGTGGGTGACTTCAGGAGCAAGGAGGCAAAAATGGTGGCTATGCAGAAAGAAATCAAGTTATTCAAATAGCATAATACAATGTTTCATTTTCTTTAATGTTATACCTTTATTTGCAGGGTTATCTTTTTGTTGTGATAGAGAAGATGAGAAGAAATTCAATGTCATAAATGATCATGTATATCATTTTTATAATTATCTGTAGAGTAGATGTTGCTACAATTCCTCCTGTTGCTATAATTGAATTCATATTCAACCACTACGTATACGGAGTATGTTAAGTGAGCATCCATTCTCCAGTATTGAAAAGAAAATGTCCTTGTGTCATAAACAGAACAGAGTATTAAACAGGTTATTTATTCATTTTCACTTCCTGTGGCTTTATTTGTTAGTTTCCCTTCACTTTCTCAACATGTGGATGAAAACACAAAGCAGCAGTTAATAATAACACATTCCCAAATGAAAGAGACATGCAACCTGCTTCCGCTTCTTACCCAAGATGTTGACATCTAGTCGATTGCTAGCAGAATTCTTCAACAGCTCACGGAGAAAGGCAGCTAAATAGTTGAACACATTTTTATGGCACTGAGGTAGCATGGAAATAACCTGAAAACAAAAGAAATGAACATTATTGTAAAAAGCTAGAGATGATTTAACACATCTTGGAATAGATCGATAGTGATCAGCGGCTGTATCACTCACTTTCTCACACTGACTGGCATTGGAGCAGCTTTCTAGGCACTGCTGGTAAGAGTAGTAGGGAACCACAGGCTCTGGGAGGGCATCGAGGAAGAGAAGCAAGGCCTCTGCCGCTGAGTGGTTGCTGCCCGCTGCAGGTCAATACCGAGTCAAGGACGTAATTCTTGAGAAGAATCTGCATGTCTTGAAATGTAATTAGTGCAAAAATAAAACTATAATATACTGTTACATCCCAGGAGTCATTCAAAAGGGGTAGGTTAAAGCTACTATGAGGTTCTTGTGTTGATGTTGGGGGTCCCTGTGGACAAAAGCGGTAGCGTTACCGAGTCTGCTTAGAAAACCTCTCATTTTACTGCAGCAAGATGTTCTGACAGTCTTCCCAGCTCACTCATTGGGTCTGGTTCTCCCGTGCTTTCCCTCTAAAGGGCCCAGGAACATGGCACTGGGCCTCCAGCAGTGTGGTGTCTGTGTTGGCTTCCTCCTAGCCAGAGGAGCCGCTGCTGCGGCATGGATACACTACAATCTGAAACACGTCTCTTGTTCTTGCCCGATGGTTTTGATCGTCTCGTACTTATGTAGGTCGTATACAGGCGTCAGTATGAAATTCAGATAGTTTCATAACAAGTTTAAAGTTCCTCATAATACCTTTAACCAACAGAAATACAGAGTAGTTATAAATAAAAAAAGGTGCTGTTGTCAAAACAACTAATATGTATGACTACACTGTGTAACTTCTTCAAATATTTCATAAAGATAAAAAAAAACAAATTCCAACGATGGCTATGATGGCAATAGTGTTGAAGGATACGGAGAGAATCTGGAATGCCAGTGTCAAGGCAATCCCTTATTTCTGCAAATTCACTTCGGAGCCCAGGTTGCTGAAATAGGTCTTCCTGCAAATAAGAGGACGGTAAATATCAAATCTGTTTTCCTTAAAATGCACACAGTCATTAAGTCAAGGAGGTAAATTACTAACAGCTTCACTTGGGCTTAAAATGCTCTTGATTTGAGCCGCAGTAGAGCTGCAACAGACTTAATTCAAATAAGCATGTTTATGTTATGTCTAATTTATGTTTAAATTAGAAAAGATTTTAAGATGAATTCCCATTTTGCTTACTACTTGGCGCATGCAGCGACTTTCATGCATTTGTCCTTACACGCAAGACAAAAAAAGTTTGACAGGAGGCCAACCGTTAAATAATTCCCTTCACGAATATGAGAATATCAGAAAATTGCCACAAAAATACAAAATCACACTAACGTGTTCTTTGATTTTATTACAGCACCAAAATAGAAGCTTCAGCAATTTTCTCACCTGATTGAGTGCATTGCGGAACAAGTGATCCACCATCATCCAGAGTTCTTTGGGAATGTCGAGAGGCTTTTCAGTGTTTCCTTCATTATCACCTCCGACCATCTCCGCCTGATGTTGAGAACAAACAAAAACACGCAGTTCAGTCACAATGGATTCAACTTAAAACATGAAACACTATAAAACTACAATTACCGCCTCGGGGATGTATGCCTCTGCCAACCAGTCAAGTTGCAGTTTACATCCAAAATGTTGCGTGAAATGTCATAATTTCCACATCAACTTTTGAATTATAGCCAAAAAACGTGTTTTGTGAGGAAACAATGACCGTTGACCACCACAATGTAATCATTTTATTCTTGAGTCCAGGTGGACATTTGTGCCAAATGTGAAGAAATCTCTGCCCGTGGGACCACTAACCATGTCCCGGAGGGTCTCTTGCGGCATGTCCTGGATGGGCTCCCTTAGTTGGCACAATGAATGGATGGAGGAGCCGTAGCAGCTGGGCAGGTAGTTCCCTGTCACAGAGATGAAGTAGTCTTTGCCACGCTCCAGGTGGAGCACAAGGATGTCTTCTATCTGCTCCTTTCCAGAGTTAAGTTCAGGCGCTGTTGAGCGGTTTACAAAAACCTCAAGCTCAATGTCCACAGAGCCACCTAGAAGTTGAGAGAGATGCACGTTTAGTAAGTAAGGGTGTGGCTGAACTGTCGTGATTCAGGAACTCATGCCTGCTGCAACAGTGAGTTGCCATGTTGTGCTTCGGTCACGACAAGCAGTCACCGAAGTAATACTGATCGAGGGTTTCTGAACCATCAACACATCTCTAATTACTTATCTTGCAAGACAAAAAAAACCATTGTAAGTGTACATAACAATTTCTAAAACTTAAAAAGGCAGGACAATGATGCTTTATCAAAATTAAATATGTGAACCCAGGGTGAAAAGCTTATTTTACGCGCTACTCACCCTGAGCAATAAAGCCTTTGGGAGGGTCGGCTGTGAGCCAGGGCTTGCAGTACGTGGACTCATTCGGCTTCTGGATAAACTCAAACTGACAAGGGACCTGCCCATCATTGAGGAGGCTCAGCGTCTCTGCCCGGCGCTGCATGTATTTCACGTCCTTAAAGTGGAACTGAAAGAAGAGGGAGCGGTTCATGAGGCAAATTAGAAAAAAATTCTACTCCATTTCATGTAAATGTATCCTTAAATTGCTCACTGAATGTGATGGGAAACTTTACCTCTCGCTTGGACAGAGTCACAGATGGAATACACTCATTCTCCATTTTGTCTATATTGCGTACGATCTCTTCAAAGGTCTTCTTATAGACCTCAGCATTTACTTTCTTGATCTGTAGGAACAGAGAAGAAGAAACATGTTAGAGGCAAAGTAACAATGCAGCATAGACATAAAAAAATACACTGGCAATAGAATGTTTTCTATTGCCAGTGTATTTTTTGAGCCTGTTGACGTGAATCGAGCAGATAAGAGTTATATCCTAATGCAGAATCATTTACCCCGATGACAAGCAGGGAACTGACTGGTTTGTGGTCACTGGTCTTCAGAGTCATGTGACTCTGATAATGCTGTTGCATGATGTTCTTCCCTGTCCACAGGATACGGTCACACCACGCAGGCACGCGGCATTTTTCACTGAATGCACAAGAAAGCCCAGATATTAAAACTCAAGTAATTGTATTACAGTTACAGAAATATGGGTGGTTTGAGTGCAAATTTGTTGTGTTTTTCCGATTCATTAGCAAGAAGCCCCTTCACATGTTTAAAAAAAAAAAAAAAAAAAAAAAGGGGGAAACATGAAAGACAAGCTGTTCTAACAAAAAGAGAAAATACCAGCTGCTGAAGTGTTGCATTTAAGTGCGATATGCCCCACACTATTTGCATTACATTACATTGGTTTTGACATAAATAAAGACAAAGCCACACTATAAATGGAGAGATAAAGCTTCACAGGAGAAGTTTCATTGTTGCAGTACTTGACATTTCAACTATCCTTACTCTAACTGTGAACATGATCTTACTATAAATGCTGCATTCTGCTGTTTCGCAGTCGGGCCTTCGTATGAGATTACCTTGTATCCCACTTGTCAGAGCCGGTGTCATATTTATAGGTAGGCTGGAAATCAATCTCTCCCTCCACAAAGCCAACGAACACCGCCTTCTCATCGATCTGCCTCTTGAGCTGAGGACCATTTGCAGCTGGTAAGTATCACGACTCATAAACACGAGTGATGAGTAAAGACTTTCTTTTTTAAAATAGCAGAAAGAAGAGTACCACATTGATAATCACCTGATCATAATTGTGCAGGGTCTCAAAGTCCTTTTTGCTTATTAGCTCCTTCACGTTTGAGACGTCAAGCTCAGTGATCCTGTAGTTGAGGTCTCCGATCCATAAAACCACACTGGTGAGAAAGAAACATGGAGAGACAATATCGTCTCAGTTGGATATTGGATAAGAATTTTCATCTATACAGAAACCACTTAATACATAGGATGTAACTCTGTAATTTCATTTCATACTCATGCTTCATGATAGTAAGTGGAGGCTGGGTAGGGTCCAGCTGGCGAAAGTGGAGACGACTGCATATGTCCTTGTAGTCTTGATTACGTCTCTCGTACTCTTCAATGTGGGCAGCGAGGTGAGAGTTGACCACGCAGATATCAGAGTTGTGGAAGCGGAACCGGACCGCCACGGCTCCCTTATTTCCCTTTGAATCAACGAGAAACTCAGATAACATAGAAGGCAACGCAACTTAAAACTCCTGCAAAAGGATTCAGAGAAAATGCAATGTTTTAGACATTATGCAGTGATATACAGTATATATATCCACCTTTGCTTGCAGAATTTAGAGTCATCAATTAACCTAAGCTGCAGGTCTTTGGACTGTGGGAGGAAGCCGGAGAACACGGAGAGGACCCACGCTGACACGGGGAGAACAAGCAAACTCCACACAGAAGGCCCATTTAGCCCGGGAATCGAACCCGGGCCCCTCTTGCTGTGAGGCGTCAGTGCAGGTGTAGCTTCTTGTAATATACACAACACCAGCGTATTTACATGAGGATCAGTGCATGAAAGATTAAGACTTGTAAATTCCGTCCTTACCATCCGTCCCATGATGCCAGTGCCCACAGTCTCAGCCTCCACATCAGAGATGAACTTCGCATACTTCTTCTTCACATAGAAGATCAGCATGATGCCCACCAGTCGCACCAACTTCACCTGTAGCGGAACATGAGTAGATATACAAACGTCAACGATTAACCAAGTAATGTAACCTGCATATTGGCTGGATATTCTTTTATTTAAATGGCAGACAGTGGAGTTCACTTTACCCTGCAGCCACATGAAACGTGCTTTCATACAGTTTTTTGCGGTTTACATCAGCTTCTTAACTGTTTTTCACCCGCAACTACTGTGAACAATGACAATATTTACAGTTGAAGATATTTACTGTCATCTCCTGCCTTATCTCAAGGAAAACAGAAGTGAAAAGCACATCCCAGAATACAAAACTGTTGTGCATGTAAAAACAGTTTGATAAGCCTCCCTGTCAAACTTCCCCAATCAACATTCAGATGTGAAGGGGAAAAGATGTATTTTCCAGCTTCTTGAGCTACACAGTGTCAGTTACAGATCAGCCAAGTGTGCTTCAGTTGACAGTGGATGAAGAAATGACATGTCATTATACTGCCGATGTGACACACAGACAGACTGTTCCTTGGGAATAGCCAGTGTAATAATCCACATAATGTGATGTAGACAGTTAATACTGTGTCTACTGTAACACATCAAACACAATCAAAGAGCATTATGGTAGCAGCATCCATGTTAAAAAAGAGCGAAACAAGCTCTACAGATAACATATCTGTTCACAGGCCCAGTCCACATACCAACCCGCTGTTAATAACTTTATTAATACAGGAAAAAAAAAAGAGCTCCTTACTAAGGCATACTTGGCATCTGGGTGCAAGGCCTCCGAGACGGCCTTCGTCCACTCCAGCTCCTTGGGGGTGTCATTGAAGAAGAAAGCCTCTTTGCTGAGGTCAAGCTCCTGAAAACTATCAGGAAAGGCAAACGGTAAAATGTTGATTTTTTTCTAGCTTTACTCAGTACTTTCAAAACTTTGCAAACATAGGCAGGATCACACATGGCGCTGAATCTGAGGAGAGGTCCTGCTCTCCTACTTAAAACAGGATCAATGGCTGCATACGTCTCTCAGAGGTTCCACCAGGAAATATCTGTCTGTGTAGCGGGATTAAGCGGAGGACTGGGAGGCTATTCTCCAGCAGGGTGAACGGTACTCACCCCACGCAGTACATGTCAGGAGGGGTCGCAGTGCAGCTCAGCCAAGGATGGAGGCTTTCCTTCGGCGTCTGTCCGTTCACATTGTATGTGCCGAGAAAGAAGCTGTAGGTATTGGAGAATAATATCATCTTTTGACCTCTGAGCAGCAACTTCAGTGGCTTGCTGAAGGTAACCTAAATTGTGAGAATTGGTAAAAGGACCCAACAGCAGCACAGAGCTCTGAATTTTGTGCTGACTGCCCCAATGTCCACACACTCAGCTAACTAGAACCATGCCGGAGCTGACTTTATCCAGACTGCTGCTTTCCTTAGCTTCTTTCTTCTAATTTGCTTAATCAGCATAGATTTTCAGTACATTCTCAGTATGTACTGTAATATGAGATGAAAGCAGGCAACGCACATACATGTAACCTTTTCTATATATGGCAACTATTGAAGTGTATTTATTTCTATTCAGAGTCCTGGGCAGCGAAAAGGTAGGCTAACACCTCGGAGAGGTTGCGAGTCGGTCACATAGCAAACACAAACACATTCAGACCGACACCTACAGACAGGTTAGAGTTCCAAGGAACCTGAGCTTCATGCCTGGTGCATGAGAGGAAATAAAAGCATCTTTCATTATATCTATACTCCTGTTTATTCTCTGCTATATTCTTCATGAAGGTTTAAACATTAAGGCACAGCTCTACCAGCAGGAGGCAGTGTCGGCATCATAGCAGAACCACGACGCAGACTTCAGCAAATGCTTATTTTGAATCTGATAAAAACAACCTGAGCTTCAGCAGTTAATGCCCTACATTGGTGCATGGTTTTTTGACAGTGTCTGAGACAGTGGAGCTGAATTTAGCAAAGACCCAAATACAAAGCCACAGATGCCGACTTCCTTTCACAACACACCCCTTTAAGATCCACACTGTGCTCACAGTCACACTGGGCTCCCTCTGTTCCTGCATGAACCGAGAGACTCTTAAATTGTCAACAAAGTTGAGCTCAACACAACTGTAAAGAAGCCCCGACCTAAACATCAGCACATTATTGATATCATTTTAAAACTAAATAAATATGTTGATATAACTTTACTGATTTGTTATTTGTGATTAAGATATGAAATCGTGCACCGGCAAATTAACAGGAATTAAAATTCAAGTGTAAACCTTTGTAATGAAGCAACTAATTGGTCAAAACTTCAAGAGGAATTCCTGTATATAATGTATATAGTATAGAATGGAATTGAATAGATCAGCCCCATTGTCACCGACACCCGAGCCAGCTATTTTAGTCAGTATGGCCCGAAATCAGTATCCGTACACCCCTAACGATCACCTAGTTCTACGTCCAAGTCGCTGCACCAATCTGCCAAACACATGTACATTTTTAAAACAGATTTATAACAAGCAAGTCAAATACCTGAAGTCCTCCGTGTACGTGTAAAGGTTCTCATTCTTCAGCAGCTCACACTTGATGAGGTTGTCTCGCAGGCCGAACTGAGGCATGGCCAGTATCTGAGCTTTGTTGGAGGTGGTGTGGCTGGACGAGCGCACCAGGTCATCCCGGTCCTCGCGACTGGAGACCCGGAGAGAAGAAATAACAGTGAGGCGTTGAGAGGAGGGCCAGTCCAAGATAGAAAGAGAGTCATTTTGTCAAACTGGTGTGATTTCAGAGGGAACAAATGATCATAAACTATGCATTTGGCTGTTTGTATGGACAGCTGCCAGGTCTCATTCAGGATAATCCAGCTTAACTGCAACAAGCGATACCTCTGCTAAAAGCCTGGAATAAAAGTATGGATCAGTAGAGACGTTACACTCTGCTCCAGACTAACAGCCTCATGTATAGTAGATCACCACAGTGATAACAGGAAACCAGACTATGCGGTGAAGCTCTATTTCCGTGTTGTTTACTGAGCGTTATCTTCAAAATAGCTGCTTTACTTTACTTGAGTAAGGATAAAAATGTATCCTGTGAAGTACCTCTAGTAGTGCTACGAATTAATTTTTGTGAGTGCCATCCCATTTTGATTGTTCTCATGTAGCAACACAAGCGTGCAAGTGATGCGATACACATTCCTGTCAATGGTTTCACACTATTCCACTGATCTACAGCCGGCGGTAATGCACCAAGAAAAGGCAGGAAAGAAGACTGCTTGCAAGTACACATGGATACAAACATTAAAAAAGGCCGTACCTTTCTGGGACGGCATAGGCTTGTTTGGAATTCTGCGTGCCGCTGTTAGCACCTTTCTCCTTTTCGGAACTTCCCTTTTTTTCCGACGATTTCTCTGTTGGGGAAGAGCAGGAGAGAAAAGGGAGATTCATTTTTATTTTTTTTTTAACTTGTTCACAATGTTAAACACAGAGCATAAAGGTTGACGACAGCATTACAGCAGAATTCTACATGAGGTCCATTAGCACTGCCTGCTTTGAATCACAAACTAATATATTGTTTGCAGGTTGTCAGTTAAGACTGTGTGTCAGCTTCTGGGAGACCTTTCTACCAACATTATCTTAAACTCTGCCGCAGGTATCGACAGCCTGGGACGACTCACTCTAAAAAGAAAGAACCCAACCCTTGGCAAACCCATATTTCAACTCTTTAACAAACTAATATGGAGAATACATAATCATCACTAAGAATAAAAAACAAACAGTACCACACATCAGTCATAAAAGTGCCGTGTCACAGCTCGGTTGTTGTGGTCAATGGACTGAGGCTGCCTTTTGCAGTGTGTTACAGTTATTGCATCCTAAGTAGCTGGAGCTAATGGGCGCTTGTGAAGTATGAGACAGCATGGCCCCTGTCTCCTGCAGCTTGGCAGGGAACACAGCTGGCTGCTCTGAAAGGGAAAGCCAAGTTCTTTCAATGGGCAATTAAACTCTACAAAGTTGAAGCAGACTACATTCAGGGTGCACCTGACCAACAGTACTCAGGACCCAAAAGATGAGATACATATATGCTTCCATGTTTGTAATCGTATTATTAACATGATCTTTACTTGGCAAACTGAAACCTACGATGCAGCGTTCAACGCAAGAACCCCACGGCTCAAATACACTGACATTAACTGACTGGACACGGATATATCAACAATGCACCGACTAATAAACAATACTGCTTGAGACTGTTCACTGCTGTTTGCCGAAGACAGCTATGACACAATGCATAGGACTTCTATGGTTTATCATTAGTAAGTTACTTAAACCTAACCATTACTGCAACCAGCACCTGAACCAATGAGGCTTTAGTGTGTGAGCTTCGTTGCTATTTCATGGCATATCCTACATTCCTGTTCATGCTTTTAGTATTTTCAACCAGCTAATGAGCTTAAACGTTTAACCTCCAAGGAGTAAGATGCAGGAAGTGTGACTGACTGCAGTTTCACACGCCTATCTGTGGTCGATCACAAGTCAGCATAAATGTAAAATTATATCAGGGTTCAGGATCTTCAGTATTAAAAGAGATTTTAACTACATCTGCACAAAGTTCAACATTGCACAACTCCCCCCCCCCATGATAAAACGATTGGTATTACACTGCAGGAGAACACATTCTGTGATTTACTTCTCTTGTCAACCGTTGTAAATAAAACAAACAACAAAAAGCAGACAGCAAGTAAGCCACCTTTATCTCATTGAGAGGCCAGAAGAAAGTTTACAGACCACTGATTTAAGCTAACAGGCTAACAAGTTAGCTTAGAGGATGAGCCTCGAGTGGAAGTCTCTTAACTGAAAACAGGCAGAAAATAGAGTAGCACACTGAGAAGCGAGACACAACCAGTGTCCTAATGGATGACACAATTCTCCAAAACACGTTATTGCACCACCAACCACAGCAGGTGTGTAATTTTCTGTCACACAGCAACACCATGAACAGGACTAGTTAATAACAGCCGTAAACTAGTGTATTAAGCTAACCGTCTATGTGGGCTAACATCCCCGATAGCTTCACATTGAAGCAGGAACATATCACATCAACAATATATTTAGGATTTAAAAAACAAACTATTATCGCGCCTGACGAATACCGTCTCCTTTAGCTAAAGTTAGCTTCTTTGAAATAAGGACAAACGTCAATACACGCTACCATTAAGTTAGCTAGAAAGCTAGCTAATTAGCGTAGACTGCATGCTACAGATTTGTGCGATGGCATTTCTTTTCACCACCCATTCAAAAAATAAACGAATGTAGGAATATTTTTCATACCAGAGTCTCTCATCACCCTAGACATCTCCCACGCATTCTGTGCAGAGGAGCAATGTCCAGTGTGCATCAGACCTACCCATGCTAACATGGTAGTGGGAGGAGTTTGCCTTCCCTCGCTGCAGAGACGGGAGGCTGAACAAACAGATCGAGTATGTAGATGTAGATGATGCGACCGGAAAATGCTTCACCACAGTGGTATCACGAAAGGAAGTTAAGCTCGTGCATTTCAAGAAGATAAATACATTGAATAAATACTTGTATAGCTTATTTTAACACCCTGTAAGGACCAGATGATTGCAAAACGTGGCATGATTTGCATATGAACATTACATCTTTGTTTGTTCCTTTATATACTTTTTACACTATATATTTTGCATTAACATGCGTGTTATAAACAGCATGGCTCTAATCTAAAATGCAAAAACATGTGGAATGAAATCGGTGGGAAATTGGCCATCAACATGGAAGACAAATTAAACAAACTTTACATAGCCAACAATTATTTGTAAAGTATAGTATTTGTATTCTTTGTATAGACCATTTCAAAATGAATTGCATTGAACAGCCTGTGTCCCCGGCTTTACTTCATGTCAGCTTAGGTCAAGTTTACAAATGTAAAATGGTCTATATTGTGACTTTAGAGGTAGAAGGTACTTTACTTACAAAATTGCAAATTATTTCGGCAACCGAATGTTGTTTTGGGTCAAATCATAGCATGCTTTTGCTGTCTAAGTTCCAGTGTAGAACATACCACCCTTCAGTATCACATCAGCTTAGTTTAAGCCACATTTAAAAAACAAAAAACAAAAACTTTTAAAAACCTACCTGTATAGCCCGGTATTTTTATAACTTATTACGCTGATGATTTAATTTGTTTTAAGAATGTTGCTGTCGTCCATGCCGGCTCGCTGCCATTACGCTTAAATGAAATGACACATCAAGCCTATTTTGTGACTGGTTTCCTTCTCCACATGGCTCTCTGACAGTTATGAGTGCATTTGTTACAACTCATACACAGATTGGGCCAGTTGCACTTTAAGGAAATGATGCTTTCAAAACTACCTGGTTTCATCATGAAACCCTTTGATGTAGACTTTTATCTGCGTGAGCAAACACCAAAGAGATAAAGAATCAAATACTGATAAACCTATTCCAATTTACTGAAGTTTTATTGGACATGAACTGGCTGTGAAATTCTGCAAATAGAAATAAATTACAAACCTGTTTTCCGGTGCTGGTTGAGTTTAGTGAGTGTTGTCCCGAGGGGGGCAAGGGCCTGCTTGACAACTCCCTGGCCTCTGGTGGCTTTGTGGTACTTGCTGATCCATTCAAACTTGGGTGTCTGTGTGGTTGACTTGCAAACTTCTGAAGAAAGACCGACAGAGAGAGCATGAGAATAAGAATAAGTTAGGATAATCACAATACTTTGTGAGTGAAGAATACAACAAGAGGCGGCTCTGAACTTTGATCTGTTTTCAGGCAAAAGTGGTGAGGATAAACAGATACCAACAGTAATGGTACGATTCATGGTATAAACAAGAGTGCTTACTTATCTACCCCACTTGAGTTAAAGAAATAAAACAGCGGTATTTCTAAGCAACATCTTTCTATTTCTTGCTCTTCCATATAGGTCTTACTTCAAGTTTGTAAGACCAGCTCCACACTTTGTGCTCTACTGCTTTAAATGAGGCTTCAAGTTACAGGTGCTGCAGTGCATTAAAGACATCTCACTCTTATCTGCTTACCTTTACCACTTCCCACACTCTTCCTTTTAACAACAACAGGTGCAATGTCATTCAATCGTTCCATCACTGGTATCCCTCACCCGGTTAAAAGCCTTTGTGGCTCATCTTAGAGTACCACAAAAAAACAACATTCATCAGTCTTTGTCTGTGCTCACGTGGAGTTCGCGGGAAAAATAGTGAGCCAGTGTCAAAGGTGACACATCCCTAACAAAAGTAACCTTTCAATGGCCCATTCCATTCAGATGCACAGGAAGCAGAAAGTAAAAAGCAGTTCAAGAAACGCATTAAAGCGGAAGATGTATGTCCTTTTTGAAAACTGTTCTCATGACGCTCACACTTAGTGTGAAAAAGACAAAGAGAGTACACAATCCAAACTCCACCCCTTCTCTCTCTCTTTTCTCAGCCATGCATCATGTACACACCCAGTAACTGACAGATGAAGTGACTCCACCAGTTTGTAGTTCTAAAATAGTGTTAATTGTGAACCACAGCCACCAACTGTCTCAAAGAATGTGTTTGGGTACCGTTTTTTGAATTCATTTTCCTGTAAACTGTCAAATTTAAAAAATAAATTTAAGTTTTTAAGTTTGCCACATAATGTAACCTGAAGGCAACTGAAGACTGGCTGAGCAGGTTTCCTCCGAAACAGATGATTAGAGCAGCAGATTATTTAGACTTCTTCAGACATGGGCGCGCCCGCTTCCTGTTGCTCGGACAAGAAAAAATAAAAAAAGATATGAACTGCTAAACCCAAATGCATGAAAAGAAGTGATGGTCCAAGATACTGCATTGTTTTAATGGATAGTATTTTCCCCACACGTGGTTCCCTTGCCAATGTCATCTCAGTTAAACTCATTTTCAAATGGCATTTTTCTCTTGAGAAAATATCACACATCTCTGAAGGCTGACCTACCACTCCACGTCCTGTTGACCTCACTGAGGAAGAAACGCGAGTGGGAACCAAAAGGAAGTCTGAGCTCTAATTCCTCTTCCTGGTAACTGACTCTCACTTTAGTATCGGCACCTAGAATCAGATAAAGAACACAGGAAACACTGTCATGTTGAATTTCATGCAGTGGATCAGTTATGTAGCATTTCATGATAGAGCTGTAATGTTAATGAGTGCAACTCACCCACAACTGCAAGTTCATCTGGTGAGGAAACTTTAAAAAAAAAAAAAAAAAAGAGTACAGCATGACAAACGTGTAAGGGCCCTTTAGATAATTTACTACCATGACATTTTTTCACTAGAAACTATACTTATCTCGAGGAACACATTATTAACTGTCTCTCTCCTTTTTAATTGCCCGTCTGTTGGCAATGCAATACAACACATGAACGCAGCTCACCCTCCACCACAGCGAAGTCCAGGGAGATGGGTATGATGTCCTCCAGTGACACGTCATCAGCAGTAACAGCCATCCTTCGATGGGTATAAATAAAGATTCTACAAAATGTTAAAATTGGATTTAGTTAGCAGTCTGAAGGCACATGCATGGGGATGGCACAACAAAAGACACTTTTAAATATAATGCAAGCCGATACAGGCTTGCATCTCTGCAGGAAACACTACCATTTTCGTATGATATATAATTTTGGTTACTTTGTCAGACAGGTGAATGCAACTCTGTGGTCATTTCTTTAGGCCAGTTTGTGCCGTTGCACAATCCTGTCACTCCCTCTCTCTACATACAAGCATATTGTTCAATAATACAGCCATATTATAGCTCCATTGCACTACATTTTAAAACTCACGCATGCTCTTTTGTAGACTCCACCAATCCCAGCAGTCTGCTCTCTGTAAGGTCATCAAAGAAGACGTCACATTGGACAGCATGTTTACAGTTTAGTTAAGGATATAGTGGAAATATGTTCATGGGTTTTCCTTCAGTTGCACCTTATATTTCACATTTTACCATGACCTACTCTCATCTCAACTTATTTTTTATTTAAGTATATTTAATACAGCATAACAAGTGTTAGGTTGTCCCAGAGTATTTCCATTTTATACTAATTCCTCTACACAATATATATACAAGTTTTTTTTACATTTATCTGAAATATGTAGTTACCTTACAAATTAATAATTTACATATTAACTGCATCAGCAGAATATAAAATAGGATACGCTAAGCGGCTTAACAGAATGTAAAACAGTTAAGATAACCTCCACCATACACAACATTTAAATGCTGTTTAAAGCCTAGTGGTCATCAATAATAGTCAAATATTACATTGTACAAGTCTGCTGCATTAAAAGTACTTTTCATGTTGTTATTAAGTGAAGGCTCTATATCTCTTCCTTTATGACAAAGCAGCAGCTGGTGACACAAAGCTGCCACCTTGTGGATGAAACGTCTCACTACAAAAGTTGGCCCAAATCCTTGGGAAGTCACACCCGATTTGGCTACACACTCGTGCTGTAAACTACGCGCACTGTAAATACATCGCCTGGATTATATTCACAGCCCAAGTGAGCCTGTAGGCTACTATTTACTGATAGATGTCAACCGAGAGCCTTAATCTCACAAGCCCCTCTCCGAGCTCTGGTATTCTCCAACGGAGTTAGTCCAGTTTAGTTTGAGGCAGGTAATCCTTCCTTTGAAGTGCTGACAATCGATACACCAGCGCATTAACGTCTCAAAGGATACTATGATGCAGTTTTCTCCCCTCTCCAAAGTTTCCTGAATTGCGACGGATTGATCCATAGCGAGGACCTGTGTGACAAGTTCTCCTCTCCAACGCCTCCCACACTCGACAATACCCGGAGATTCGAGTTACTCCAGTTGTTCCTCTTTAAATACACAGATACTCTTCAGGGTCCTGGGGCAATCCGACATTATTCCCTTTCAGATACTTTCTTCTTCCTCCTGCGCTGCTGGCTCGGCCCAGTCTGCCACGCACTGATTCGGGATCGCGCCCGCGCTGACGTCACATCTGGGCTGTCATCAACTGGGTTTGGTTTTGGATTTAGGCCTCAAGCGTTCGACCCGAACAGGATTATGTCCCACAACAGAGCCCCGCGTCTACAAAGTTATGTCACAGCTTTCGAGGACGTTTGATGAGCCATCAGGTCAATTAAGTGTTTTTTTAAAACCAAACTGTGATTAATTTATCCAGTTTAAAATGCTTAGTAATACACCTTTTTTAAAACTAAAAATCCAGGAACTGATATTAGGGCATTTAAGCCTACACAGAATTGGCACAGACCCCATTGAAGTTGTCCATCCATACTTAAAATCAACAGCTACTCTGATATCCATAAAAATCTGATAATGACACATTGGCCGATACAAAAAACAAAGCACAAGAACTGTGACCGAGGTGGCTGAGTGGGACATTTCACAGCGTAAAAAATGAACTTGCAGTGCTCTGTGGTGGACAAACTGTAATGTGTTGATGCTGTTTCTAAACCACCTCAAACCTAGACTGGCATTTCCATATTAAGAGTTTCTTGTTACTCATGATATGATAAACTTGCAATTCAGTTTTCTGCAAAAAGTTGAACAGTCATGCAGGGAGAGACAAAATAATCCAATTTCTGCCATTCGTTTGGCTGAAAGCTTGTTATTACTGTAGACAAATTGTCTCATGAATGTGATTTGAAGTTTTCTCATGAATGAGATTTTGAAGGGCTTTAATTTTGAAATGCTACATCAGAATGTCCTGGTTCTCTTTGAGTGACACCTTGAGGTGGTCTGCTATTAATTAACCTGTTGTAAAATGATTTTGTAACTATGCACCATTTCCTCTAAAATCGAATCTGAAATTAGACAGATTGTCTCATGAATGTGATTTTGAAGTGAGCTCGTACTGTAAGACCAACATTTAAATTTGATTATGATATCTGTTCACATCAGCTCTCTGGTGATGGAAGAAGTATTCAGATCCCTCTACCCAAATAAAAGTACCAACATTCCAATGTATAAATACTCAGTTACATGTAAAGGCCCTGCATTCAATTCCTACATGAGTAAAATAGGTGTATCAGTAAAATGTGTCTTCGGTTGGACTTCTAACAACTCATAGACAAAGGTGCCCCACTGCTTTTTTATAAGGGCTCACAAGCCAAAACAAAACAATGCATTGTACCTGATAAGCTTAACTCATGTTGTTTTTGATGTAAAATCATATTCTTAAAAGGAATCAGTAACTTTAGCTAAATGTAATGAAGCAGAGAGTTGCCTCTGAAATGTGAAGTAGAGGTAAAAAAAAAAAAGGACATACTCAAGCAAAGTAACTCAAAATTGTACTTGATTACAGTTTTTAATCGACACCATTTTGGAAATTCACAGGACTTTACATTTCAGAAAAAGCCGTTTAGCCGCTATGAGCCCCGAGAAATGTCATCACCTTTCACCCAACTCTATGAAAAATATGTGACTTCATCAAATGAAGATTAATCTGACATAGTTCATTAGATTCATTTCATCACAAAGCTAGAATAAATTGTAATAATTCTTATTTCATTTAACATTTATGACCCATTATACCTTAAAATATACTTTGTAAACCAGACATCCAACTCACTATTCACAAAAATATTAGACAAAGAGGAGCCAAATGTACTAAATTGCACATTACATTATGATTACATTTACAGAAATGCTTAAGCAAACCTTCACAACACCCTGTAACAGCTCGATATTTGTGTTTCATAAAGTGCATATAGAGTCATGGCTGCGTCACTCTCACAATGGTTCGAAGAGATGATTATCTACGGAGAGGTTTTGGTAATAAAACATTTATAACCATGTCAACATACAATGTTGTGTTGAGGCTCACTCACCCAACCAAAAAAGAAATGTGCCGACAGTCAGTTTAAAGTGAGAAAACTAAAGTGAGGCTTTAAACAAAAAGAGATTTGGCTTCCTTTAAGAAGACAGCATCGGAATTCAATTACAGTTACAGGCTCAAGGTTATGGCTCAAACACACCGTAAGACTTTAGCTGTCTTCAATTATTTCTTAAAGCTTCACTGAGAAGGATGTTTATTTTAATATATAATTTTGTTAATTATAAAGGTGATTTTCACCTTAAATGTGAAGTGGTGTGAAGACTGAATTGCAGCTGGCATGTTTTCTTTCTTGATTCCTGAAGTTGATATCGTTTTTTATTTAGAAATACTGTTCAAAGACATTTTTGATGCTCTTGAACCAAAGATAAAATGTGATTGGGACATTTTAAGAAAACAAGTAATAAAGTCAACATTGTAGCCGAGGCGTTACATAATCCCATACATATATACATTACAATCACATGTAAATATCAGTGAGATAAATGGGTGTAATAGAGTTAACTTCTGCACCGCTAAGTTTATTTTTATTTACCTGGAGGGACTGAGAGTTACACAGAGCTCTGATTACCTAATGACCCACAGGGCAGCCGAGCAAGCTCCTATTCAGTCACTCACATCAGCAAAGTGATGGCGAGCAGGCAAAGTAAAGAAGCAATCAATTCTGTGTGATGATGAGGACCTCTTGTGGAGAAATTGGGGACATGCAGCGTACCATTCAACCAGAGGCAGGAGGTTGTTGTGGCATTGCAGCACTCGAGATGACATGGAGGTTCTGTGGAGGTCTTGCATGGGGTTTTGCTAGAACAGTTGGTGGTGCAACCTGCTGTCCACTTCAATTTGGATTCTACGGTCTCCTTTTTCAGCTGCAAAGGCAATAGTGAGTGAGAAAGAACAGTGGCAAACCTACAGTACAAGTGGTTGAAAGTCAAATGTTTGTTTTCTGTCTATTCATTGTTATATATATATTGTAACATATGTTTATTTATATCATAACATGTGTTATGCTGAGAAAAGTTGAAGTTGAAAGTGCTGATGCGGGGCTTTCACATGTTACATCATTATGTCTTTAGATGTAAAATTATTTTTGAAAGAAAATTTTAAAACAGTGAATAATAAATATATTCAGTGATTTAGAGGTATACATGGGCAATCAATGATGGTGTGCAAACAAATTTTTATACTATAAATTCACTTAATTAACTCAAACTGTTCTATAACAATAGCTCACCAAAGATGTATACATTTTTCTCATATTTAGGGTTCCTGGCAGCTATATACTTTGTTAAACTGACAAATTCTTAAGTACATTTTATGCTTTTGTGCTGAAAAAAACAGATGTATGTGGGGCAAGGACAATTTAAATGGTGCTAATCAAAGACATTTTTCTCAGTCGTTGATTAGCACCTTTTAAATTGAATGAATAGAAAGCCAGCAAACAATGAACCAAAATATTCCTGGATTTTTAAAAAGTGAGCAGTTCTCACCTGACAGTGTGGCTGTGAGGAGGAGCATATTTGGGCTGCTGCATTTACAAAATTGGTGTAGCACTTGGTACCTTCACAAGTACCTCTATGGCATTTGTTTCCCTGAAAAAAAACAGCAACACAGAAGAAAGGATGATACTAATCTGACTTCCAGTTTTTGGCAAATTGTTATATTGTTCTATGCAAATTTATTTACAATAACTATTGAATTATTGTCAGAAAGTTATCATAACCACTGGGAAATGTTTAAAGGTCAACGTTGTGTACAAATACTCTTTTTAGACAATGTCACTTGTCACAAAGATAATCTGTGACTGAAGAGACAGAATGAACTAAACTGAGTGATACACACAAAACTCTCTATAGCCTTCTGCTCACATCCATTCACATGCCAACACACTCACAAATGCAGCCTTTTGTCCTTACATTGTTTGTTGTTGTGGTGGGTGTTGTTGTCATGGCTGGTGTCATGGTTGGCATTACTAAAATCATAAAATAAAAAGAGTCAAATATTAAAGAAATTGCCAACTAACTACTAAAAGTGCACACATGCAAACATGCAGTTATGACATAAAATGTCATAATTTGTAAGGACAGTGTGAAGATGATAACATAAATAAAACAATTATGAGAGTCATAAAGAGTCTGTTTACCTGTGGGTTTCATCATCATGGATGCAAAACTGCTATTGAGGCAGCCAGTAAAATTGCAGCAGTTTATAGAGCAGTTGGTCTGAGAGGCGTTGGTGCAACTATCAGCACAGAAGCCGCTGCAGCTAACAGTGTAGCGCATGTCCATCTGTCTCATCAGCTGATGCATTGCAGAATGACACATTGGAAGATATATTTAAATTACTTGTCACTGACCATATAGCACAATACAATAATATACGGAATAATGTAGAGAGTAAAAGTGTAAAGTATACACACCCTTACTTTCAGTTACTTGGAGAAACTACTCCATATTTTGATTTGTCAATTGCTTCTATGGATTACTGATACAATACATCTTTTGTATATTTAGCTGCATGTGCATACATATGCTGTGATGCATTTTAGGACATATTATAATTTGTCATTCAAAATACATCAAATAGTTTCGTTGGATGGTTCAAGAGGTTGTGTCAGTGTCATTTGCCTCCCTACCTGACACTGGCAGACATCATCAGCACATAAAGTGGCATTCTGACTGGCGTATATTGTATAGCAGTCTGAATAGTTACAGGTGAATGAGGGGCAGTACATCTGTGTTTGAGAGAGAGGAAAGGCGCATGATCAAGATGAGAGGTTAAAGGGAAACACGTTATATTACAATACACGCCTCTCTGATAAGGTGGACTCACCATCATGGTTCCAGTCATACACGGCTTGTCTGGGGCAAAAAGATGGACGTTACAATTAAAGATAGGGAAAGAAATTAAAATAAAATAGTTTTTCATTTTTACATTTTAACATGGAAAATAAACCCTGGGAAGTTAACACCTTATTAAGCGGTGAAACAAAACATACCAGTGGAGTTTGATGACGGACTGGTGGACATCATTGAGGTCATGGAACCACTTGTGGGCATGGCGGAGCTGGACTGGGTCATGGCTGTAGAG